ATTATTACTATAATTTGAAAAATGAAAATTATTTCCCAACACTTTCAATAGTAATTTTTTAGCTCATAAATTTAGACAAATGCGCACGATAATTTTTCTAACACTTAAAATCGTACAATTCCAACGACATACAAATGCATTACATACAGAACTGAGCTTTATATATTAGATTCGTTGTTTATTTTTTCTTTGCTGCATCAAACGTACACAACCACAAGAGGGACTTCAGCGACATTAGCTGTAATCTTTAATTAGCTTAAGCTGAGGTCAGAAAGACGTCTACCGAAATCCTCACTAACCTCCCCCTCCCGCTGCCGCCTTACCCCCCCCCCCCCTGTCTTCTGCTCCCCACGTCCCCCACCCCTCCTCCGTCTGGTGAGTCGTGCGACCGTCACATAGCTCTGCTGACGGTCCATGTTCGACCATTTGCTGCTAGTGCTGTCCGTCGCCCTCTCACTCTGTACAACATGTACATGTTGCGGGTACACATTTAGGATAAACTTGTACGGGTCGTAAGTACACATTTTAGGATAAAGTTGTACATGTAGCTGGTACACAATTAGGATAAAGTTGTACATGTTGCTGGTACACATTTAGGATAAAGTTGTACATGTTGCTGGTACACAATTAGGATAAAGTTGTACATGTTGCTGGTACACATTTAGGATAAAGTTGTACGTGTTGCTGGTACTCAATCAGGATAAAGTTGTACATGTTGCTGGTACTCAATTAGGATAAAGTTGTACATGTTGCTGGTATACATTTAGGATAAACTTGTACATGTTGCTGGTACACATTTAGGATAAACTTGTAGGGGTCGTAAGTACACATTTTAGGATGGTACGCATTTTAGGATAAAGTTGCACATGTTGTGGTACACATTTTAGGATAAACTTGTACAAGTTGTGGTACACATTTTAGGATAAACTTTTACATGTTGCTGTTACACAATTAGGATAAACTTGTACGGGGTCTAAAATACACATTGTAGGATTAAGTTGTACATGTTGCGGTACACAATTAGGATAAAGTTTAACTGTAGTAAGTACACATTTTAGGATAAAGTTTTACATATTGCTGGTACACCATTAGAATATAATAACTCCAGGTAAGATTCTCTCGTAGTTGCCAGTTACATGTACCACTAGCATGCCACTGACTTGTCACTTCTATGTCGTGTCGATTATATTTAGTTCAGTGTCTATCGTATGTCAAAAATATGCGTCTTGTACCTTGATTTCATGTTAAAGGCAAACTGAAAGACTAATTGACGTACGAATAACTGATATGTGTACGTATAATGATGAAAAACAGCATTAACAGATATACAGATAAACAGACAGATAAACAGACGGACGCACGGACAGCCAGACAGACAGGCACACAGACAGTGGTAGTGGTAGTTGGGGTCGGTGTTTGTTGTGGCTGGTGGTTGTTGGGGTCGGTGTTTGTTGTGGCTGGTGGTTGTTGGGGTCAGTGATTGATGCAGTAGCTGGGGTTTGCTGGCTGTTAAGGTTGTTAGTTAATGAGTTGCATCAATTATTGAAGACCTGCGGCCAGCAGCAATTATTTCCCGATGCATCAGTCATTAGAGCAGGTGAGGCATGGCAGAATGTTCTGGACGGGCTGGGCTGTGTTAGGCTGGATGTGTAGTGGCATTCAACTGTTTGCCTACATTACACATGTAGTTTTACACAAGTTTTTGCCTACATTACACCTGTAGGTTTACACCATTGTTTTTTTACATTACACCTGTAGACTTACACAACCCTCGTCTACATTACACCTGTAGGCTTACAAAACCCTCGCCTACATTACACCTGTAGGCTTACACAACCCTCGTCTACATTACACCTGTAGGTTTACACCATTGTTTTTTTTTACATTACACATGTAGGCTTACACAACCCTCGCCTACATTACACCTGAAGACTTACACAACCCTCGCTTACATTACACCTGAAGACTTACACAACCCTCGCCTACATTACACCTGTAAGCTTACTCAACCGCTAGTTTTAACATCATGTTTAAAACGACCGACCGCTGTTACAAAAATTTGGTTTTGTTGAAATGTGTTACTATGGTAACAAACCATAGAATTATTTAGTTTGTGCGTTTTCGTGCCATGGTAACCATAGTAACCATCAACGAAAGATCTTATTGGTCGGGTTTGTTTATCAAATCTCGCCATTACACCATTAGGAAAACCATATTCGGGTACAGCTAACTTCAAAGCGACAGAAATTGATTTTTAAAGTATTATCTAAAATAACGTGACACAACATCAATTGTTCTCCAAATAATTACGTCATTCTAATTAATCTCTGCGAAAATATTGAACAGTGGTTTTTATTTTTTTTTTATTTTAACCATTGGTTTTATTTCGTCTTATTTGTTATGTAGATGCGTATTTGTTTTTATAAAGACTCTTGTAATTTATGCAGTGTTTTTAAAGACGAACACCTTTTAAATAATTAATTTTAATAATAAAATTTCCTTAATGGTCAGCTGACTTCAAAGCGACAGAAATTGATTTTTAAAGTATTATCTAAAATAACTTGACACGACATCAATTGTTCTCCTAATAATAAAATTTCCTTAATGGTCAGCTGTCGTGGGATTGTTTACAATCTCTGTTCAATGATTCACTTCTCAGTTCAATGACTCACTACTACGAGACTTTGTTTTGTTCCATCGAAGGTTTCTACATTGAAATAATATCAAAAACTCTAAAAATAACGTGAGAATATGACTAAAATAGTACGAGATAACCACCAAAATAACGCGAGATTACCAACAAAATAACACGAGGGCACCAAACGATGGTAGATCACCAAAGAAAATTGTTCATTGATTAAATCCCATTGGACCCAAATGTTACGTCGCGGATGATAGATTTGCTAATAATGTGGCCAATTGTTGCATACAGTGTGAGATGGTATGCTATATTCAAATGTAGGTAGATTTAAGGGCTACCATTATATATAGAATTGTTGAAATAAAAACTACCTCCTGCAATGTTTTCTATGGTTGGTTTCTATGAATGGTGTCTATAAATGACGTCAATGAATGGTGTTTACAGAAGATGTATACACGTTGGTGTATTGTCTAACTCCAATGGATATTATATATGGATGTTGTCTTTGGATGCTGTAAAGGTGTGGCTTCTATAGATGGTTTGTTGAATGAATAAACGGAATACATACGCGGATACTTTAAAACAATTTTACTTAAGTGAAAGCAAGACTCATTAGAAGTCATTACGTCATTACCATCAAAAGCCAGGTGAAAATACCGTGTGGTGCCAGACAACTTGATACTCTACCGTTTGGCTGGGCAGACGAGAGTGACGTCACAGCGACAATTACAGGCCGTTAAACCGCGTTTGTTCAGCGTCAGTGTTCCGGTGCAGACGGCGTTCAGCAGAGATCGTGTTTCTCTGTCGTCCCTGCGTTGCGCGCTCAGTGCCTGGACTAATATCACAGGCTAGGTGTAGGTTTCCTTCAGGAATAGTCGGATGGAAGTAAGACGTTAGTTAACTAAAAGCGATGGAAATCGTGTGACTCGAGAGACGAACAGACAGGGGCGACAGAAATTGTGTGACTCGAGAAACGAACAAAAACCAGAACCGAAGGAAACTTTGTGACTCGAGAAACGAACAAAAACCAGAACCGAAGGAAACTTTGTGACTCGAGAAACGAACAAAAACCAGAACAGAAGGAAACTTTGTGACTCGAGAAACGAACAAAAACCAGAACCAAAGGAAACTTTGTGACTCGAGAGACGAACAGACAGAAGCGATGCACACTCGATAGACAGTAAAATCGTGTGAAGACAAAATTGCCACCGCAAGACGGATCTAGAAAATAAGACCAAAAAAAATGGCGCCATTACCCTGCAAAATCGGATATCATAGTTGAGCCTATTCGCCATTGTGACTGTATCTTGGGTCACGTGATTCCAACTGCATCACGTGGTACAGAACGCATGAAAATAAACCAACTCAATCCATACGAGATTGGCCCGGTTGAGTTGTCCCGCAAAGCTTTAAAGACCAGCCGAGTTTCCGCCCCTGTCCCCGTGTCAACAAGCCCCGCAACTCATTCATTGATCCTCGCAATGTTCACCGGGCAATCATGATTCAGTCCCCTGTCCTAACAACTTGTCCCAGCATTTAATGAAGGCCAAAAGGGTTTTAATGCAAAGGTCGTGTGACAGGCAGTAATGCCTGGTATTGATTCTAGACAAACATTCAATGAAAACAATCTCCAGCTACCGTGGACGTTCTACTGGGGAAATATGATATGGTCAACTGCTTGATGCCGTTTTAAACTGGGATGGTCAACATTTCTAGTGTACTGGTCAATTCTGGAATGGCCAACATTTCTAAGTGAATTGGTCAATTCTGGAATGGTCAACATTTCTACGTGAACTGGTCAATTCTGGAATGATCAACATTTCTAGTGTACTGGTCAATTCTGGAATGGTCAAAATTTCTAAGTGAACTGATCAATTCTGAAATAGTCAGCAGTAAATTGGTCAAAGTCTGGATTGGTCAACATTTCTTTGTGCCTTAAAATTGTTTAATCAGTTTATTCTTGTATTTGTTCTTTACGCTAGAACTAAAACTAGTTTTGTTGTTGTTTCAGACCTGATGTCGCGTTGTTCCTGTATGTACTGGGCTATCACTGTAGACATCCTGATGTGTGCTGGACTATCACTGTAGACATCCTGATGTGTGCTGGGCTATCACTGTAGACATCCTGATGTGTGCTGGGCTATCACTGTAGACATCCTGATGTGTGCTGGGCTATTACTGTAGACATCCTGATGTGTGCTGGGCTATCACTGTAGACATCCTGATGTGTGCTGGGCTATTACTGTAGACATCCTGATGTGTACTGGGCTATTACTGTAGACATCCTGATGTGTGCTGGGCTATCACTGTAAACATCCTGATGTGTGCTGGGCTATTACTGTAGACATCCTGATGTGTGATGACACCTGGCACAGCTGTGGACAATGCTAGAGGACCTCCACACACTCCGACAATAGGAAGAGAGCGACGACAGCCACGGAAAGTTTTGTCTTCAAGTAAAAGACTGTGTGAGAGTCTATTCAGGCACCTCTAACCTGACTCCTGTCGATACTGATCCTACACCTGTGAACCAACAACTCTAACCTGTGACGTGACACCTGTCACCTTTTGATCACACCTGTGACCATAACCTGCGTGCTGTACTATACACCTATGATCATACACCTTTACCTTTGATCACTCACCTGGCCATCTATATGACACCTGTGAAAGACACCTGTCACCTTTGAACCAACGTTTGTTACCTGTAATTTTACACCTGCCACCTGTGATAATACACCTGTCATCTGCGACCCAGCCCCTGTCACTTGTAATCTTACATCTTTTCCGAGCGACCATTCACCTGTCGCCAGTGGCCAGACACCTGTGACCATACACCTGTGACCATACACCTGTGACCATACACCTGTGAACATACACCTGTGAACATACACCTGTGACCATACACCTGTGACCATACACCTGTGAACATACACATGTAACCAGACACCTGCGACCAAACACCTGCCACCTCTAACCAGTCACCTGTAACCGACCACCTGCCACCTCTAACCAGTCACCTGTAACCGACCACCTGCCACCTGTAACCAGACACCTGTAACCGTCCAACCAACCCAGACGAAGCCGCCTCTACTACAACGGCACCAACGCTGCTTTTCCTCTCGAAACTGACGGAAAACGAAACTTCGGACATCGCCAACAGCAGCTACTGTGGCCTTGACCTGAGAAAAGCTGAACTTCCGGTCATCTTCCTGATAACACTGTCCGTGAACCTGCTGGCGCTGGCCGTGTTGCTACGCATGCGCGGCACGTGTGACACCTTGGATCACCACCTTGTGTCGCTGCTCAACTTGAATGATCTCATATCAACAGGTGAGGTCAGAGCCGAGCTCTGCACGTGAGTACGATGTAAGACAATGTAAGACAATGTAAGACAATGTAAGACAATGTAAGACAATGTAAATAGAAGGGTGGGGATGTGTAATGTTCACCGTCCATGTCAGCTTTAAAAAAAACAAATTAACTCACCACCAGTTACCTTCTCTTCTTATAATAACGTTCCTCCCCCCCCCCCGCCCCTATCAGCACCTACCACTAATGCCTCAAATACCTCTCCACTACCACGCTACTGCCTTCCTCCCTCCCCCCCCCCACTTCCACACCCGTCTTTTACCCAGCTTCCATTAACCACACAAAAGTCCCTCACACTACTCCCCCCACACACACACCACAACCCCACCCACCACACTAAAGTCCCACACATTTCTCACCCTCCCAACCCCACCTACCACACTAACGCCCCACACATTTCTCAACCCCCCCCCCCCCCCAACCCCACCCACCACACTTAAGTCCCACACATTTCTCACCCTCCCAACCCCACACACCACACTACTGCCCCACACATTTCTCACCCCCCACAGCCCCCTCACTTGTCCCACACATTTCTTACCCCACCCACCACACTAACCCCCCACATATTTCTCCCCCAGCCCTCTTCACCTTCATGTGGGTCTCCGGCTGGGCGTCATGTGACCAGCTGCTCCAACTTCCGGTCTACTGTGGCCTGTTTGGCTGGCTGGGCAGTGCACTGGTCGTCTGGTCAGCTGGGATTATCGTCATCATGACCAGCTGTAGGTAAGTCGTTTGGTCATCTGGGATTATCGTCATCATGACCAGCTGTAGGTAAGTCTTTTGGTCAGGTGGGATCATCGTTATCATGACCAGCTGTAGGTAAGTCGTTTGGTCAGCTGGGATTATCGTCATCATGACCAGCTGTAGGTAAGTCGTCCGATCAGCTGGGATTATCGTCATCATGACCAGCTGTAGGTAAGTCGTTTGGTCACCTGGGATTATCGTCATCATGACCAGCTGTAGGTAAGTCGTTTGGTCAGCTGGGATTATCGTCATCATGACCAGCTGTAGGTAAGTCGTTTGGTCACCTGGGATTATCGTCATCATGACCAGCTGTAGGTAAGTCGTTTTCTCAGCTGGGATTATCGTCATCATGACCAGCTGTAGGTAAGTCGGTTGGTCAGGTGGGATTATCGTCATCATGACCAGCTGTAGGTAAGTCGTTTGGTCACCTGGGATTATCGTCATCATGACCAGCTGTAGGTAAGTCGTTTGGTCAGATGGGATTATCGTCATCATGACCAGCTGTAGGTAAGTCGTTTGATCAGCTGGGATTATCGTCATCATGACCAGCTGTAGGTAAGTCGGTTGGTCAGGTGGGATTATCGTCATCATGACCAGCTGTAGGTAAGTCGTTTGGTCAGATTATCGTCATCATGACCAGCTGTAGGTAAGTCGTCTGGTCAGGTGGGATTATCGTCATCATGACCAGCTGTAGGTAAGTCGGTTGGTCAGGTGGGATTATCGTCATCATGACCAGCTGTAGGTAAGTCGTTTGGTCATGCTGGGATTATCGTCATCATGACCAGCTGTAGGTAAGTCGTTTGGTCACCTGGGATTATCGTCATCATGACCAGCTGTAGGTAAGTCGTTTTCTCAGCTGGGATTATCGTCATCATGACCAGCTGTAGGTAAGTCGTCTGGTCAGCTGGGATTATCGTCATCATGACCAGCTGTAGGTAAGTCGTTTGGTCAGATGGGATTATCGTCATCATGACCAGCTGTAGGTAAGTCGTTTGGTCAGCTGGGATTATCGTCATCATGACCAGCTGTAGGTAAGTCGGTTGGTCAGGTGGGATTATCGTCATCATGACCAGCTGTAGGTAAGTCGTTTGGTCACCTGGGATTATCGTCATCATGACCAGCTGTAGGTAAGTCGTTTGGTCAGATGGGATTATCGTCATCATGACCAGCTGTAGGTAAGTCGTTTGATCAGCTGGGATTATCGTCATCATGACCAGCTGTAGGTAAGTCGGTTGGTCAGGTGGGATTATCGTCATCATGACCAGCTGTAGGTAAGTCGTTTGGTCAGATTATCGTCATCATGACCAGCTGTAGGTAAGTCGGTTGGTCAGGTGGGATTATCGTCATCATGACCAGCTGTAGGTAAGTCGTTTGGTCAGCTGGGATTATAGTCATCATGACCAGCTGTAGGTAAGTCGTTTGGTCAGCTGGGATTATCGTCATCATGACCAGCTGTAGGTAAGTCGTCCGATCAGCTGGGATTATCGTCATCATGACCAGCTGTAGGTAAGTCGTTTGGTCACCTGGGATTATCGTCATCATGACCAGCTGTAGGTAAGTCGTTTGGTCAGCTGGGATTATCGTCATCATGACCAGCTGTAGGTAAGTCGGTTGGTCAGGTGGGATTATCGTCATCATGACCAGCTGTAGGTAAGTCGTTTGGTCACCTGGGATTATCGTCATCATGACCAGCTGTAGGTAAGTCGTTTGGTCAGGTGGGATTATCGTCATCATGACCAGCTGTAGGTAAGTCGTTTGGTCAGATTATCGTCATCATGACCAGCTGTAGGTAAGTCGTCTGGTCAGCGGGGATTATCGTCATCATGACCAGCTGTAGGTAAGTCGTTTGGTCAGCTGGAATTATCGTCATCATGACCAGCTGTAGGTAAGTCGTTTGGTCACCTGGGATTATCGTCATCATGACCAGCTGTAGGTAAGTCGTTTGGTCAGCTGGGATTATCGTCATCATGACCAGCTGTAGGTAAGTCGGTTGGTCAGGTGGGATTATCGTCATCTTGACCAGCTGTAGGTAAGTCGGTTGGTCAGGTGGGATTATCGTCATCATGACCAGCTGTAGGTAAGTCGTTTGGTCAGTTGGGATTATCGTCATCATGACCAGCTGTAGGTAAGTCGTTTGGTCAGGTGGGATTATCGTCATCTTGACCAGCTGTAGGTAGTCGTCTGGTCAGCTGGGATTATCGTCATCATGACCAGCTGTAGGTAAGTCGTTTGGTCAGATTATCGTCATCATGACCAGCTGTAGGTAAGTCGTCTGGTCAGCGGGGATTATCGTCATCATGACCAGCTGTAGGTAAGTCGTTTGGTCAGATGGGATTATCGTCATCATGACCAGCTGTAGGTAAGTCGTTTGATCAGCTGGGATTATCGTCATCATGACCAGCTGTAGGTAAGTCGTTTGGTCAGCTGGGATTATCGTCATCATGACCAGCTGTAGGTAAGTCGTTTGGTCAGCTGGGATTATCGTCATCATGACCAGCTGTAGGTAAGTCGTTTGGTCAGATTATCGTCATCATGACCAGCTGTAGGTAAGTCGTTTGGTCAGCTGGGATTATCGTCATCATGACCAGCTGTAGGTAAGTCGTTTGGTCACCTGGGATTATCGTCATCATGACCAGCTGTAGGTAAGTCGTCTGGTCAGCTGGGATTATCGTCATCATAACCAGCTGTAAGTCGTTTGGTCAGGTGGGATTATCGTCATCATGACCAGCTGTAGGTAAGTCGTTTGGTCAGCTGGGATTATCGTCATCATGACCAGCTGTAGGTAAGTCGTTTGGTCACCTGGGATTATCGTCATCATGACCAGCTGTAGGTAAGTCGTTTGGTCAGCTGGGATTATTGTCATCATGACCAGCTTTAGGTAAGTCGTTTGGTCAGGTGGGATTATCGTCATCGTGAGGTCATCTGGGATTAAAAGATTATCGTCGTCATGACCATCAACAAATTTATGAATTCTCTAAGTTGCCGTGTAGTTTTGAGTTAGTGTGAGAACCTCTGTCTCCACAGATACCTGTCCCTGGTCAAGCCTCTGTACTACAGGACCCACGTGACCGTGACGACAGTGACCCGGGGGGCAGTGGGCACCCTGCTCTTCTGTCTGCTCTTTTTCATCTGGCCCTTCACCGGACTCACGGCGCCGTTCACGTAAGTTTTTGGTCACAGCATTGTTCACGTGAGTTTTTGGTCACTAGAAGTTTTAGAAATCAGGAAATTTGTCTTTTGATCTTCATTTCTTTCTTTAAAATCTTTCGGTGAAAAAGATTAGTTTAAATCTAATATATAAAGCTCAATTCTGTATGTAAAAATACATGTTTGTCGTTGACATACTTCGATGGATTAAAGTGTTAGACTATTATCGTGCGCATTTGTCTAAATTTATGAGTTAAAAAATTACTATTGAAAGTGTTGGGAAATAATTTTCATTTTTCAAACTGATAGTAATAATTGTCGGCATGTTCATTAAACAAAAGTTTAAAAAAAAATATCATCTTTTACAAAAATTCTAATTATGTCTTTATTTAGTCCTATAGCACTTACTTCCCTTTGATAAAGTAGGAAAACACAATTACTTCCCTTTACAAAACCATTGCATTAGTGGAAAAGAATTTACTTTTTATTACTTTGTTTTGGTGTTGGGGAAAAAATTATTACATAATTAGCGGGGATTGATCAAGTGCAAATGTTGTAGGTATTTTACGGATAAGCTTGGAGTATTATAATTGTTCATTAAATTGAAACAGGCGCGTTCGTTTAAGTGAGTGCAAAAGACTATGAATCAGTTGGGGTACTATAGTCGTTTATTAAGCTAAAACAGGCGATTCCGCCCCGGGCTAGACTGTGAGCACTTTGCGTTTATGTTCGCGTTAGTGTTTTCTTTGTGTTTAGGTTGGGTTTGCGTTAGTGGTAGCGGTTTGATTTGGTTCGTTTTTGTTCTTTCTTTTTTTCGTTTTTGTTTGTGTTTTTTTCTTTGGGTTTGTATTTGTGTTTTTGGTTGGTTTTGCGTTTGGGTTTGGTTTGTTTTCGTTTGCTTTTTCGTTTTTTGTGTGTTGTTATTGGTTGGTATTGGTGTTTGTGGTTGTGGTTGGGTTTGTTGTTAGGTTTTTGTTTTCGTTTGCTTTTTTGTTTTTTTTTTCTTTGTGTTTGTATTGGTGTTTGTGGTTGTGGTTGGGTTTGTTGTTAGGTTTTTGTTTTCGTTTGTATTTGTAATTGTGTTAGCGTTATGTTTGCGTTTTGTTGTTTTGGTTTTGGTTGGTTGTGGTTTGGGTGGGCAATGCCGGGTTTATGATGATTACTAAACACACAGGTAATGGTCTTTAACAGAAAGGTTTTTCACAGAAGCCAGAGCAGGGCCTGGCCGGGACGGCTAGTATTAGATAAAGCTCAATTTTGTATGTTTGTAATAAGTTTGTCGTGGATACTTCGATGGATTTAAGTGTTAGATTATTATAGTGCTCAAGGTCTAAATTTATGAGTTAAAAAATTACTATTGAAAGTCTTTAAAAACAATTTTCATTTTATATACTTAGAATTATAATTTTTAATTATGAACATTACATACGATTTTTAAAAAGTGTATCAACGTTTATAAAACTTCTAAAATTGTGTCTGAAATGTATTGACTACACAGTTACTTCCCTTTAAAAAATCATTAAATCGGGGGAAGAAAGAATTTACTTTTTATTACTTTGTTTTGGTGTTAAGAAAAAAGAAACATAATTAGCGGGGATTGATTAAGTGCAATGTCGTTGGTATTTTTAATACTGCCTTTTATTTATTCTATACACTGAACATACTGTTCACTAATTTTTTTTTTAAATCAATAACATTTAATAAGCCAGGTCCTACAAATGCTATGTTTATTTCTTTCCATTTACGGATAAGCTTGGAGTATTATAATTTTGTTCACTACATTGAAACAGGCGCGTCCGCCGGCGCCCCTGAAGGGTTCGATTTGGCGCCATGGGCTATCAAGTGAGCGCTATGCTGCATAATTTAGTTTTAAACAGTGCGATAGACTATGGATAAGAAAGGTTACTATAGTCTTTAAGTGAATCAAATCCGGGCGTCCTCCGGCACCCCGACAGGGTGCTATTTGGCGCCCCGGGCCTTCCCGTGTACGCTAAGGTACCTACGTTCGCGTAAGTGAGTTCAAAAGACTATGAATAAGTTAGGTACTATAGTCGTTATTACTAAGTTGAATCGGGCGGTTACGCCGCACGTCGTCATGGTGCGATTTGGCGCCCCGGGCTAGACTGTTGACACTTTGAGTTTATTTAAAATTATAAATTTTAAATTAAAATAAATTAAAATTTATTGCACGGTTAAAATTATACCGTGCAATAATTATAAGCCTGTTAAAAAATTTAAGGACGAAGTTTAAAATATATACTAGCCTAATACGCCATTAAAACACCTTTTAATAAATATAATTAAAAACAAAGAAATCTCACCCCTATAAAACTTACATCGACTAGCTATGTGCTATGGGCTTTCGTAAATTCAGTGAAATGGACTTCAGTTGATTGCAGTCTTATTAAAGCGAAGTTTGCAGATTACTTTTTACTAGAATTTATTTAACTTGCTTCCTCTGATTTAAATTAATTAGATGTTTCATTGGGGCTTTTTTTAAAGAATTAAGTACATTTTCCTATATAAAATATGTAAAAATATAATTAAAACATTTTCATAATAATCTTTTATATAATTGTGCACTAATAAATAAAAATTAATTGTCTTAAAATAAAAACGAAAAGCGCGATTGCAATTTATATTTTATTCAACTTATTTTTTTTTTACATAAATAGAAATTAGACCCTAATGACCGACCATGGTCGTTGTCCATTAGAAAAACTGACCAATAACCGGTGTCTTTAGTTGTTCTATTTTTGTAGATGTTTGGTAGTTTAATTTTACTTGTAGTTACTAAGAAGCGCATTTTGATTTAGTTACAAACTTTGCTATCTCGCTGTCTAGCATCTACCAAGACAACCACATCTGTGCCACACAGTTCGCACCAGGGGGCGCTGGACTTGGCCAAAGAATTTTTATTGGGGCCACCGGGGTCATAGGGTGCCTCACTGTGGTGCACGTCCTGGTGTGCAACATGACCATAGTCAAAACGGTGAGTACCACGTGACCTTAGTGAGACTGGTGAGCAGAGGCGTAGGTAGCGGGGTGTTGTGGGAGATTTGAACATCCCCCAACCCCCCCCCCCATCACCCCCCCCCCCCCCCATAGTACCCATGAATTATGGCTGCCTCACGATATACAGCCACTGTTGACTGCATGCGCTTATTGATTTAAAAGCTCTTAGTTTCAAAATTACAAATATATGTATATATATATATATATATATATATATATATATATATATATATATATATATATATATATATATATATATATATATATATATATATATATCACCAGCTGAGGCAGAGAAACGCCATACGGTCTGAAGTGACCCACAGCCGGAGTGACTCCACACGGACACATGTACACGGCAAGCGCCGGATCTTCGGGCACGTCACTCTTGTCGTCTCCTTCGTGTACGCCCTGTGTTACGCCCCCTTTGTGGTAAGTGAACTCTGACACCCAGAGTTTCTTCCAGGCATCTCTTCGGGGGTGCTAAGCCCCCCCCCCCCCGAAAATTTTTTACCTCCCCCCCCCCCCCGAACGAAATGAAATTTATATAATTTATATAGAAAATATATACTTTTAACAGTGTCCGCCCCCCCCCCCCCCGAAGAAAGTCTACCGCCCCCCCCCCGGATAAAAACGTCTGGAAGAAACACTGCTGACACCATACATACAAGTAGACACCAGTAGAAAGACACCAGTAGCCACAAGTACACACCAGTACACACTATTACACACGGGAGCCGGACGGTTTCCCGAAAGACACTTGCCCGGATGCGACAAATGCCTGAATGGACACTTGACCGAATGCGACAAATACCCTAAAGGAAGTGTCCATTCGGGCATTTGACGCATTCCGGCAAATGTCTTTCGGGAATTAGTCGTAGAGCCGTACACACTAGTAGACAGAACCAAGTAGAAACAATTATACAGACACCAGTAAACACCATTAGACAGACACCAGTAGACACCAGCACACAGACACCAGTAAACACCATTAGACAGACACCAGTAAACAGAATTAGACAGACACCAGTAAACACCATTAGACAGACACCAGTAAACACCATTAGACAGACACCAGTAGACACCAGCAGACAGACACCAGTAAACACCAACAGACACCAGTAAACACCATTAGACAGACACCAGTAAACACCATTAGACAGACACCAGTAATTTGGTCCTCTGTCCCCTTAAACTGATATAATGTACACGATAGTAGCCCCTGTTTGTCTGATAAGATTTAACATCAGTTACTTCCCCTTAAGCCTGCACGTCTCATCTCGTCTCTCGCAGGTCCGGCTTGTCATTGACACCATCCAGGACGTTGACCACCAGGACTCGCCCGTCCACTCCGTCACCCTCAGCCTCCTCTTCCTCAGCCCCCTCCTCAACCCCGTCGTCTACGGCGTCTTCAACCGGCAGTTCCGGCTCACCTTGTTCGCCATGTTCCGGCCCCCGGTGAAGAAACCCAACCTGATGACCGGCAACGGCCTGAGGGTTGGGTTCACGACCGGGGTTTACACGGACAGGGACGGCAGGGCTGGGGCTAGGGTCAAGGTCCCGCCCGACCGGGACGCCGTGACGTCATTAGATGGTGGCAACGGTCTACCCCGCCGGGAGACGGAGGTGTCCATGTACTCGAGCTCGCACGAGATGTTCACGTGCTCCAGTGGGTGACGTCATATCGTCTTATTCATGGATGACGTCATGAAATTATCGTCTTATGTGTGGATGACATAAGGAAATTATTGAATGTGTAAATGGTGTAGTTAAAGTATTCTTTTATGCTTGAATGATAGAGTAAAACTTTTGGATCATTGTGGATGACGTAATGAAATGAATGGCTTGGAAGGTGGAATGAATGAAGGAATAAAGGACTGAAGGAAGGAATAGAGTGACTGCGCCTGTAAACTACACGCCACTTGTAATAGAGTGGCTCATGAACTTTGACCTTTGAATATCATTAATAGATGTGATTATTTTTTCTAGAGAGTTGCTTATGTCTTAACCCGGTTAAGAATAAAATTAGTTGGAAACGTATTGTGCCTCTAATCTCTATAAGTGTGCAAGTGTGTGAATTTATCATATATATATATATATATATATATATATATATATATATATATATATATATATATATATATATATATAGTGTGTGTGTATGTGTGTGTGTGTGTGTGTGTGTGTGTGAGTGTGTGTGTGTGTGTGTGTGTGTGTGTGTGCGTGCGTGCGTGCGTGCGTGCGTGCGTGCGTGCGTGCGTGCGTGCGTGCGTGCGTGCGTGCGTGCGTGCGTGCGTGCGTGTGTGTGTGTGTGTGTGTGTGGGTGTGTGTGGGTGTGGGGGTGTGGGTGTGGGTGTGTGTGTGTGTGTGGGTGTGGGTGTGGGTGTGGGTGTGGGTGTGTGTGTGTGTGTGGGTGGGTGTGGGTGTGGGTGTGGGTGTGGGTCGGTGTGGGTGTGGGTGTGGGTGTGGGTGTGGGTGTGGGTGTGGGTGTGTGTGTGGGTGTGGGTGTGGGTGTGGGTGTGGGTGTGGGTGGGTGTGTGTGTGTGTGTGTGTGTGTGTGTGTGTGTGTGTGTGTGTGTGTGTGTGTGTGTGTGTGTGTGTGTGTGTGTGTGTGCGTGTGTGTGTGTGCGCGTGCGCGTGCGCGTGCGCGCGTGCGCGCGTGCGTGCGTGCGTGCGTGCGTGCGTGCGTGCGTGCGTGCGTGTGTGTGTGTGTGTGTGTGTGTGTATGTGTGTGTGTGTGTGTGTGCGCATTTTATTCAATCCATCTTTATATCAGATAAACACTAAAATCGTGTCCCGCTATGAAAGTTTTGAAACACGAATTAAAAGATTTACTGTAAATCTTTAATTAAAAGAATTTCTATAAAACAATAATTACTACAGAATCATTAATAACAAGAATTGTTGTAAATAACTAAAAGAAATATAGTAAAACACTAATTAAAAGAATTACTATAAAAACATATTCCAATTGCTCAATGCAATACATTTTTAACTTTTCTAAAAGAGAAGAAAATAAACTTTAAAACTTTCTATCATTTCACACGGGAAACAACAACGAGGGATGAGGGGGGGGTGGTCTCTGACTTATCTTTGATTCTCCAGAAGATTCCTATAGTTGCGCAGTATGATCTAGCCATGTACTAAATATTTACCTGGGGGAAAGATAAGTGTATACCTTGACAGAGAGCATCCCCCCCCCCCCCCCAGTGACGCCATAGGTACCAAGCACTATACCTTTCACCACTAACATCAATAAACAGATCGTCATAAACAGGTTACCCCATATTATTTCTGACGCTTACCTCCCCTCTTCTACTCTCCTATCCGCGGTGGAAATAAAAGTTGAACCTTTGTAAACACACATTGTAGCAGACGAGCTAGTCAAAAAGTCGGGCCGTCTTGCGGTCGATGATAAACGAACCTAAACTTTATCGGGGCAGGTGCAGATGTTAGGGCAGATGCTAGGTCTGTGTAGTTTTCACATCGTTAGGTGCCAGTCTATGGTCTGACTCTCTGAGCAGCCATTACTGTAGCCTGAGCAGCCGTTACTGTAGTCAAACATATCGGTAGTTGGTTCACTTTTCTATTGGGGGGGGGGGGGGAGGAGAGGTTCAAAAACACGTTACTAGAAAGCACTTTGTGTAACTGTTAAATTTACCCGATACTGTTCTTAAAGAAATGATTTCTAAAACTCCACCCAACCAAACATAATGTAAACATGAGAACTTTGATATCTGAGGGAAGGCACACTTGAATTTGTTTACATCTTGTATTTTTATCTAGCTCAGCCAACGCCGCGCGCGCTATTTGGCGCGGCATGGGCGTATCACGTGATCAAAGGTTAGAGGCAGGTCAATAGATTCACTTATGTAACATGTATTGGGCGATTCTTGGGCAGGTTTTAATAAGGATTAGCGCCGTGTTACAATTTTGCTTAAAGTAAATAAAAGTGTGACGAAGGAAGGGTTACTAAACGCAGCAAGAGCGTGGGCAATCATCTCTCCCGTGGGTTCAGTTCAGCTTGCATTGAGTGCAAACAGAAATCTAATTTAAAAAATACCGGCAGTGAAAAGTGGGTCGTTGCTTGTGACGTCATCGCTGGCTACAGGCAAACTGTGGGGCTACCTACCTGTGTACAGGTGAAGCTCACGCAGCTACAGACACTGACATCGGCAATTGTTACTCACCACCACAGACACGTGCACTGTTAAAGCTCTGCGTTCTATTATTACCACCTCGCTGTACTACAGGGGGGAAGGGGACGGGTGGGTGGTGAAACGAAATAAAATACCTCAAGGGGTAAACAGTACCTGGAATGTTTGCCTGGGTGATGGGAGGGTGAGGGGTAACTCATGCTCGTCTACTGGCACATTTATTTTGGCTGAAAGAACGGGTTAGCTGCACAATTGTTGTGAGAACAGGCTGTGTTGTGTGCAGACGATATCCAGAGCTCCAAGCTGATGTAGACATTTGGGCGTTTCTGGAAAGTGAGTGGATTCCCGTAGCTACACGCGGTGTCTTGAGAGGCAGGTTCCAGTTTTAATTCTTCATTCCAATATTGTTCTGGACGGGATATCAGGTGCAGAAAATTTCGTGAGAAACTAGATCAAAGGGAAGTGACCGGTGAACTGACCAGTGGTGACCAGCTGATAAAGATGGCCCAAACGATCGTCCAGCTCCACAGAAACCCAGGCGTACCGTGGGGATTCAGGCTCCAGGGGGGACGGGACTTCTCGGCAGAACTCAGTGTTAAGAAGGTGAGTTGGTCAGGGTGTGTTAGAGAGGTGTGTTGGTGAGGTGTGTTAGAAAGGTGAGTTGGTCAGGTGTGTTAGAAAGGTGAGTCTGTCAGGTGTGTTAGAAAGGTGAGTTAGTCAGGTGTGTTAGAAAGGTGAGTTGGTTAGGTGTGTTAGAAAGGTGAGTTAGTCAGGTGTGTTAGAAAGGTGAGTTGGTCAGGTGTGTTAGAAAGGTGAGTTGGTTAGGTGTGTTAGAAAGGTGAGTTGGTCAGGTGTGTTAGAAAGGTGAGTTGGTTAGGTGTGTTAGAAAGGTGAGTTGGTCAGGTGTGTTAGAAAGGTGAGTTGGTTAGGTGTGTTAGAAAGGTGAGTTGGTTAGGTGTGTTAGAAAGGTGAGTTGGTCAGGTGTGTTAGAAAGGTGAGTTGGTTAGGTGTGTTAGAAAGGTGAGTTGATCAGGTGTGTTAGAAAGGTGAGTTGGGTCAGGTGTGTTAGAAAGGTGAGTTGGTCAGGTGTGTTAGAAAGGTGAGTTGGTTAGGTGTGTGAGAAAGGTGAGTTGGTTAGGTGTGTTAGAAAGGTGGGTTGGTCAGGTGTGTTAGAAAGGTGAGTTGGTCAGGTGTGTTAGTAAGGTGAGTTGGTCAGGTGTGTTAGAAAGGTGAGTTGGTTAGGTGTGTGCAACAGTTGTCAGAAAACTTTTTAAACCAGCAAATGGTTTTGGTTATGGCGAGGGTTCCGACGCGTATCTAATTAACGGTTTAAAAAAAACTAGTGCTTGTCTTTATAATTGCAGGCTGTTTACTTAATTAATCAGATAAATACTTCCCCTCTGTGTGTCTTTACTATGTATTTATAGTGCGAGAATATTTTTAAAGCATTTTAAATTCTCTTAACAAATGAGATACAGTTTTCATGAACAGCTTTAAGATAAAACAACAGCATGCTAGACCACCAGGGTGGAAATAATGGCGGCTCGGGGTGGGGGGGGGGGGGGGGGGGGGTTAGAGAACAACGTCAACATCTTTCATAATCCACTCCCTGTGTTCAGCGTTGAGCGGACGATATGAAAGTTTATCTCACTCCTGCGGTGGGTGGGGTCGGTGAGTTGTCTCTTCCTGGCAACTCATCATGACGTCAATGTTTACAACTGGTGACGTCATTTACAAACTGTCGTAACTGCTTTTTGTTATACAACATTCATTTTTTTTTTCAACAGTAAAAAAATAAGTTTCAAGTGTAAGGTATCTTTGGCTTGTCAAGAGAAAAATATAGGAAAACTATTACAATTTAATTGCTTAATTAACTAATCAGTTTAATTTTAAAATTAAACAATTCTTTATTCCTTAACTTTTATAGTGTTAGCGTTGAGCGCAGTGTTACATGATTGGCCCTGACCTTGGCCTCATGTCAGTCCGACTTTGAGTCCGCCCATAAACGTAGTATTGGTGGGAGGGGTGGATCTAGCGCCTAAACTGACCGCCGATCATCTTCCCCTCTCTGGACGGACTCGGAGATGCTATATGGACTTTAGTAGTTGTGCGCTCTTCCGTCCAACCACGCCGTTCCATTCTGAGTTTGCCTCTTTAAAAAATGATAAAGGAAAGAAAATATTAGCGCTAATGTAAACACACTGAATAGAAAAAGAGGGATTGGCATCTTGCAAGATAGATGTATCACTTTTTTTCTATCACACTTGTCGGCTTGGCGGTTACACGTTAGCTCATTTAAGTGTCCAGTACTGGGCAGTTTCCAAATCTATGTCTGACATTACAGCTTTGTATCTCATCTAACATCCCCACACCCCCCATACACTCCCCCCCCCCCCCACACCCATTCACACCCACATTACGTACTTTCGATTTGCCGTACCTAAAACTACTCTACTGTTGACTTCTGCTGTTAGAAAAAGTCGTAACTCTGGAACTCTGTCAAAACATGAAATTGGTGAAATCTTTACAAATCTGCTTCCGCCCACCTGTGTTTCGCCGTCTTCTACACCTGGAATGTGAAACAAAAATAGAACCGTTACCGGCATAGATAATCTGTGCACAGCTTTACTTGGATCTCGTGCGTTGGGTCACGAGCTTGGCACGTGCGTGTTGTGTAATGTTTACCGCGTGCTGCCTGCTCGTCTGATTGCTTCGCGGAAATACGTCATCACTTTCCTGTTGTTTTTAAGGGACACGTGATATTGTTTTAAATTCTTAGTTAATTATGGGATGTACCCACACAAATCATCGTTTTAAATTCTTAGTTAATTATGGGATGTACACACACACACCATCGTTTTAAATTCTTAGTTAATTATGGGATGTACACACACACACCATCGTTTTAAATTCTTAGTTAATTATGGGATGTACACACACACACCATCGTTTTAAATTCTTAGTTAATTATGGGATGTACACACTCACACCATCGTTTTAAATTCTTAGTTAATTATGGGATGTACACACACACACCATCGTTTTAAATTCTTAGTTAATTATGGGATGTACACACACACACCATCGTTTTAAATTCTTAGTTAATTATGGGATGTACACACACACACCATCGTTTTAAATTCTTAGTTAATTATGGGATGTACACACACACACCATCGTTTTAAATTCTTAGTTAATTATGGGATGTACACACACACACCATCGTTTTAAATTCTTAGTTAATTATGGGATGTACACACACACACCATCGTTTTAAATTCTTAGTTAATTATGGGATGTACACACACACACCATCGTTTTAAATTCTTAGTTAATTATGGGATGTACACACACACACCATCGTTTTAAATTCTTAGTTAATTATGGGATGTACACACTCACACCATCGTTTTAAATTCTTAGTTAATTATGGGATGTACACACACACACCATCTCCCATGCTTAGCCTACTAAATACCTTTCATTTCTTCTACTCTTTCAATAGTGTCCGGAAAAAAATTCTCCAACTCTTTCAATAGTGTCCGGAAAAAAATTCTCCAACTCTTTCAATGGTGTCCGGAAAAAAATTCTCCAACTCTTTCAATGGTGTCTGGAAAAAAATTCTCCAACTCTTTCAATGGTGCCCGAAAAAAATTCTCCAACTCTTTCAATAGCGTCTGGAGAAAAAATGGCCTTGGACAATTCCCCCCCCCCCCCCCACGTGACAAAAAAAGCACCTGGACATTCTACCACACACATACCGTCAAAGAAATACCAGTGCTACTCAAATATGACCTAATCTATGACGTACGTTAAAGCCGTCCCACCTTCATTGCGTGTATTTTACTACCTCGTGTCAAGTTTAACGTTTTAGAAGCAACGTTGGGAAGCTTCGTATAGACAATAGAGAGAGCATGAACTCAACATGAACTTAAACGTAACCTTAGTCATCTTCCCCCACACAAAGTTAAAAAAAAAGATTACTACCTCTACCCCACCCCACTCACATAAACACACAGATACTACCCACCATTACCCCCTACCACACACACACACACACATCCTTATCCGGATTAGCGTTAGATCTGGATTTGTGTAATACGTTAGTGGTGACGTCACAAGTGTAATAACCAGATAACAGACCAGCATGTTCACCACAATACCAGCCGTGGTTACAGTAGAGAAGAATAACGTACCAGCCGTGGTTACAGTAGAGAAGAATAACGTACCAGCCGTGGTTACAGTAGAGAAGAATAACGTACCAGCCGTGGTTACAGTAGAGAAGAATAACGTACCAGCCGTGGTTACAGTAGAGAAGAATAACGTACCAGCCGTGGTTACAGTAGAGAAGAATAACGTACCAGCCGTGGTTACAGTAGAGAAGAATAACGTACCAGCCGTGGTTACAGTAGAGAAGAATAACGTACCAGCCGTGGTTACAGTAGAGAAGAATAACGTACCAGCCGTGGTTACAGTAGAGAAGAATAACGCACCAGCCGTGGTTACAGTAGAGAAGAATAACGCACCAGCCGTGGTTACAGTAGAGAAGAATAACGTACCAGCCGTGGTTACAGTAGAGAAGAATAACGCACCAGCCGTGGTTACAGTAGAGAAGAATAACGCACCAGCCGTGGTTACAGTAGAGAAGAATAACGTACCAGCCGTGGTTACAGTAGAGAAGAATAACGTACCAGCCGTGGTTACAGTAGAGAAGAATAACGTACCAGCCGTGGTTACAGTAGAGAAGAATAACGTACCAGCCGTGGTTACAGTAGAGAAGAATAACGTACCAGCCGTGGTTACAGTAGAGAAGAATAACGTACCAGCCGTGGTTACAGTAGAGAAGAATAACGTACCAGCCGTGGTTACAGTAGAGAAGAATAACGTACCAGCCGTGGTTACAGTAGAGAAGAATAACGTACCAGCCGTGGTTACAGTAGAGAAGAATAACGTACCAGCCGTGGTTACAGTAGAGAAGAATAACGTTCCAGCCGTGGTTACAGTAGAGAAGAATTACCTTCAATAAGCTCACTAATGGTTAGGAGAGGCATAATACTCACCAACACTCGTGTAACTGTGTGTTACTGTCAATGTCTGAGGCTGCTAGACATTGTTCACTACAAGATACACGTACCGGTAGTGTTGGGTGGGAGGGGAGGAGGGGAACAGAGGTAACTTGAAAAGTAAGGCGGATATTAATCTGGTTATTTCTGGAGTTGCTTCCCTGCTCGAGGTCAAACAGAGTTGCTTTATCCTGGCAGAGAAAAGGTTTTGTGCCCCAGCCTACCTTTATGCCCCTGCCTACCTATGTGCCCCTGCCTACCTTTATGCCCCTGCCTACCTATGTGCCCCTGCCTACCTATGTGCCCCTGCCTACCTTTATGCCCCTGCCTACCTATGTGCCCCTGCCTACCTATGTGCCCCTGCCTACCTTTATGCCCCTGCCTACCTTTATGCCCCTGCCTACCTTTATGCCCCTGCCTACCTTTGTGCCCCTGCCTACCTTTATGCCCCTGCCTACCTTTGTGCCCCTGCCTACCTTTATGCCCCTGCCTACCTTTGTGCCCCTGCCTACATTTATGCCCCTGCCTACCTTTATGTCCCTGCCTACCTTTATGCCCCTGCCTACCAAAAGGCTTTGTGCCCCAACCTACCAAAGACTGACTGCCTCAGCCTAATTTTATGCTCAGCCTACCCTACCAAAGACTGCCATCCCCAACCTATCAAAGACTGCCTGTCCCCGCATCAGAGGCGTAGCGACCCTTCCCGGGAAAAACTTTTCGATTTGCACCCCCCCCCCCCTCAAATTTTCGATTTGCACCCCCCCCCCTCGAGATTTCGATTTGCACCCCCCCCCCTCAAACTTTCAATTTGCACCCACCTCAACCTTTCAATTTATTTTTCCAACCCATTTTGGCGCCCCCTAAGGTCGGCGCCCGGGAACATATGTCCCCCCCCCCCCCGCCCCTGCCCCCCCCTCGCTACGCTACTGCCCAGCATAAAGACTGCCTGCCCAAACGAACCACATATCAGACGAATGTGTTCTTTTCCTGTAGATCAAACCTTCAATAGAGTTTATAATAACACCGTCAGCGTGGTGTTTGTACAGGGAGATCAGAGTAGGGCGTCACATTGGGAAGAGATTCGTCAGGGAGGGAGAGAAGGAAGGGGAGGGGAGGGGATGAGGTACCGCCTACACAGATGGCCTTGCATGCCCTATGGACCGTTGGGGAACTTACAATTTGTGAATTTTGAATACCTGGTTCTTAAAAGAAGAATGTATCAATGAATCAACCAAAAGTGTAATTATTCTGACACATTGATCAACGAACACACGAAAAATTGGGACCGGAGGCAAACGTCCACAGCGGATCTGTTGATCTTTTTTTTAAAATATGTTTTCTAGTTTCTAACTAGTTAACATTTCAAATTTTACGGCTATTAAATTACGATGGTGTGGTTTGAGAGACAGCATTACCGATGTTGGGGGGGGGGGGAGAAAATGTATTTTGATTTGTAGCTCCCTCCCGTAAACTTTTCCCAACCCCCCCCCCCCCCCCAATCCCTTTGTACAGCCATGTCGCCGGTATGGCCCTGACCCAACCATCCTTTTTGTCCAGATCCAGCCCGGAAGTCCAGCTGAAGGTCATCTGTGGCCTGGTGACCGCATCGTCGGCATCGGTAACCATGGCACCCAGAACATGACGCACATGCAGGCCAACCACATCATCAAGAGCGCCGGCAACGTCGTCCAGTTCACAGTCATCAGGTAAAGTCATGTCAGTCATCATGTAAAGTCATGTCACAGTCATCAGGTAAAGTCATGTCAGTCAGCAGGTAAAGTCATGTTACAGTCATCAGGTAAAGTCATGTAGCAGTCATCAGGTTAAGTCGTGTAGCAGTCATCAGGTAAAGTCATGTCACAGTCAGCAGGTAAAGTCATGTCACAGTTATCAGGTAAAGTCATGTCAGTCATCAGGTAAAGTCATGTTACAGTTATCAGGTAAAGTCATGTCAGTCATCAGGTAAAGTTATGTCAGTCATCAGGTAAAGTCATGTCACAGTCATCAGGTAAAGTCATGTTACAGTTATCAGGTAAAGTCATGTCAGTCATCAGGTAAAGTCATGTCAGTCATCAGGTAAAGTCATGTCAGTCATCAGGTAAAGTCATGTCAGTCATCAGGTAAAGTCATGTCAGTCATCAGGTAAAGTCATGTCAGTTATCAGGTTAAGTCATGCCCCAGTCATCAGGTAAAGTCATGTCACAGTCATCAGGTTAAGTCATGTCACAGTCATCAGGTAAAGTCATGTCACAGTCATCAGGTTAAGTCATGCCCCAGTCATCAGGTAAAGTCATGTACCAGTCATCAGGTAAAGTCATGTCACAGTCATCAGTTAAAGTCATGTCACAGTCATCAGGTAAAGTCATGTCACAGTCATCAGGTAAAGTCATGTCACAGTCATCAGGTAAAGTCATGTCACAGTCATCAGGTAAAGTCATGTTACAGTCATCAGGTAAAGTCATGTCACAGTCATCAGGTAAAGTTATGTCGCAGTCATCAGGTAAAGTCATGTCACAGTCATCAGGTAAAGTCATGTCAGTCATCAGGTAAAGTCATGCCTAGTCATCAGGTAAAGTCATGTCACAGTCATCAGGTAAAGCCTTGCCCCAGTCATCAGGTAAAGTCATGTCACAGTCATCAGGTAAAGCCTTGCCCCAGTCATCAGGTAAAGTCATGTCACAGTCATCAGGTAAAGCCTTGCCCCAGTCATCAGGTAAAGTCATGTCACAGTCATCAGGTAAAGTCTTGTCCCAGTCATATTTTAAGTCATGTAGCAGTCATGATGCTCTCCACTTCACGCCCCAGCCACACACAACGAGTGGGTCTGTCTCTAGTGAGACCTTGATGCTATGTGTTTAGTCGTGTTTGTACATCATCTTCAGGAGCCCCCCCCCCCCCCCAACCCACACACACACCGTGTTAGCTAATCGTCACGGTGTGATTTAACCAGTCTGGTGGGCAGACATGATGCATAGATTACACTTCAGGAGTTCGGCTCTCATTTTGAATTAATTATTGCTTAAATTTTAGCTACTTTTCTACGTGTATCTTAGTGGCGGTATTTCTTTTCTAATCGGACATTAACATAAGTTTATCTATTTACTTTGTTCAGACTACTATCTAGGCTCATTGGTCGTTAACTGTATTTACCTTTATTTCCCTTAAGGGGGTAGGCTCCAGAAGAAAAACTTCTCAATTAATACGTTTTATCTATTAATTTGTATATATCTAACTTAAGGTACTTAAAGGAAAATATTTGCAAGCATCAAGGACTCTTTTTAAAATATGGTTGCCATGGTAACGCCTGCCATCTTGAAATTTCATAAGCTAATATATATATCGGCAATATAACAATTGATCCTTCTTTTACCAACAGTCCGTTTTTGTAACAGAACACACTAGAAATTTATTTATTTTTAATTTTCAAAATTTGGGATGGTGAGTTCCATGAAAATTAATACTAAATTGACTGGTATTTCACTTAAGAAAAACTTTTCAAAAAAAAATATTTTTTCTGTTACAAAAACTAGCCAGCTGACTCTATTAGCGTTAGTAAAAGAAGGAAGAACATTAAGGTTTAGATACCTTGATCAAACGTCATTGTTTTCTATCACCACCAGAGGGCCATCCACTGACTTCTCCAGTATTAAACCCACCGGACCGGTCAAATTTTCGCCGTGGAAGTACAACCAGCAGCAGCAGCAGCAGCCCAACTACTGAGAACAACAGCAGCAGCCCAACTACTGAGAGCAACAGCATCCTAGCATCGATTCTTCTTTGACTAAAAACATTATGCCAACGTGTCTAAACTTTCGGACAACTCTAATCAAATGTGTATGATGTTCAGCTGACCTTTGTGATTTAGAATTAGTTTTTCTGTTAAGGACAGGTGTCTGTTTTCAAGGCGACCTGTTGATGTACCTTGTATCAAATGTAAAGGTTTTCAAGGCGACCTGTTGATGTACCTTGTATCAAATGTAAAGGTTTGGATATCGGTATTCCGTCCAAGTATTGTTGTTTAATGTCGGGTTTCTCAGCACACGATGTAGTCAATGCACTTGTATTCTTTGGGTGTAAGTCTATGTAATGTTCATTATAAAAGTATGTTTTCAGAGCGCAAGTGAGGAGTTTCTAAGGAAGGAAATTATTTTATTTTTAAGTATGCTGTCGGCAATAGCGTCACAATGTGGGGGCGGGGTGGCGGACCACACAGGGTATCACCATTAAATGGGATGACACCAAAATCAATCTGCTTTGTTTAATTTAAGAAAAGAATATACAACTTGTATTACACCAAGTTGCATATTACTTACATATATTTTTATATTCGTTGACAGTGACATCAAGATTTTCCGTACCGGGTGTCATGCGACTTAATGACCTCTGTGCCCAGTGTCACATGACTTAGTGACTTCTGTGCACCGTGTCACATGAACTAGTGACCTCTGTGCACAGTGTCACATGACTTAATGACCTATGTGCACCGTGTCACATGACCTAGTGACCTCTGTGCACAGTGTCACATGACCTAGTGACCTCTGTGCACAGTGTCACATGACCTAGTGACCTCTGTGCACCGTGTCACATGTCTTAGTGACTTCTGTGGTTGTGAGGACACACAAGACAACTGGCAACCGACACAGCAACCATTTCAAAACGCCCACATTGTTGTCTTATGTCAACATTCGGTCGGCTGCAAGTAGAGCCAGTAGCCTAAGCAAGTAGAGCCAGTAGCCTACATGACGGCTGCAAGTAGAGCCAGCAGCCTATGCAAGTAGAGCCAGTAGCCTACATGACGGCTGCAAGTAGATCCAGCAGTCTATGCAAGTAAATCCAGTAGCCTACATGACGGCTGCAAGTAGATCCAGCAGTCTATGCAAGTAAATCCAGTAGCCTACATGACGGCTGCAAGTAGATCCAGCAGTCTATGCAAGTAAATCCAGTAGCCTACATGAGCACAGGTTCTCTTGTAATGTTAACTCATGATCCTCACACTAGAGGAGCCAATGTCAGAAGATCTCAAACAATTTATTACGACCCGAAGAAAAAGTTAACTATAAATGTGTCAATCACATGCTAATTACTTATTACATTAAATATGTAAGCTGGCTTGCTTGTGCAAGTGGGTTCGGAGAAACCGCTTCAGCAATAATTTTTTCTCTTCGTGCAATCTGTTGCCAGTTATGTCTTAGTTCTTGCTGAGAGTGTACCGAAATGGTAGACACATTGCTTGTTCGTTCTCGCTTGATTTCGCCCGTAATAAAAATATTAGAAGCGAGTTTCTGGAGCATGTAAAGATGTTGTCGCTTTAATCAAGCAGAGATTCAAACTTTCTCTTGACCTAAACAAACTGAGTGTTCAGACGTCGCACTAACCTAGAACCTGGTTGCAGCATTTAAAGAATTCAAGTTTATATCACTTGTTAGATATCCGAATGGATAAAATATATAACCAATCAATTAGCAATCCCAAGGTATTTATTTAAAAATTAAATAGAGGACTGAAAATACCAGGTCATTGACGGGTCATTTTTTCAGTCTCATAAAGTGTAATTCTTTTCTTACCGTCCCCTTCTCCACTCATATTGTTAGAGAGTGTAGATAAATGTTGACCTTCAACTCTGTGATGTTGCTGATGTGTGATTTACTCTCATTCGCGTGTTGTGACATCAGGATGTCTATACCTTCAATGTATCGTGGAATATTTAAGGTGCTACTACCATGTATTATATCTCTATGTGCACGCCATGTAGCGGTCTTCACTGCTGGTGTGTGTGTGTCTCAGTTGGTGTGTGTGATTCCCAGCTGTTGTGTGTGTGTCTCAGTTGTGTGTGTGTGTGTGTGTGAGTCCCAGTTGGTGTGTGTGTCTCAGTTGGTGTGTGTGTGTGAGTCCCAGTTGGTGCCAACATGGTGAGCCAACATGTAACAATGGTCGAATGTTTGTTAGAGTCGAGGCCACCTCGTTACTCAGCTGGTTTTAAAACAGCTGAGTCAGCGATGTACAGCCAAACAGCTGGGTCAATGATATATGCAGATCTGATAGAACCTTAGTTTTGTCTAGGTCTAGGGTATGGTATATCAGATAGATATATAACTTAAGCCTACATATACATATATTAGTTGAATAGAACTGTAAATGTATTCAACTTTCTACAGACAATATAGCCTGCACCAGTGTAATGATTCCTGTCGCACGTACCTTATGTATATTATATTTGTAGCAATCATGATTGTATATTTGATGTTGCAATCGTGTTTGTATATTTAATAGCAATCATAAGTATAAATTCGAAGTTGTCCGTAGCAATCATGAATTCAGTTTCTTTGCATTTTTGTCAGTTATTTCCCCTTTTTACGTTTTTTCTAAGTCAATTAAAAATGAGATTTTCCTGTTTATTTTTTTATTTTGGTATGAAGGTATTTCAACAAGTGTTATTTCACAGGGTGAGTGCAGGGGGGTGGGGGGGGGGGGGATAGACATTTATTTTTGGATGTTGAAACAGTGTAGGTGGGGGGAGGTGGGTACTAAAAAAGAAGCTGGATCAAAGTAATGGCAGTCATCAAGTCATCATAGGCTGTTTTTCAGGACAACCAAGCATAAAACAAAGAACCACAGCAGGCTGCTATTAGTAGTGCTATAGAGGTAGTTGATTCTCAATGCAGGTTAAAGAGAAGTTAAATACTTTTGGTGCCCCATGGTGCTTACCCTTACCTCCAAATAAAATAACAAAGGTAAGTAAGGCCAAACATAGTTCACTGACCAGTGCCCCCCCCCCCCCCCCCCCCAACATGTAAGTTATTCCAGCAACAGAACTATTATCGATGCAAGTGATGGAGAACAAAATACTTTAAAAGATAGATTTTATTCCAACAACAATAAAACAATCAAATTCAGTACCAAAATACTTTTGATGATTAACAATCAAATTCAGTACCAAAATACTTTTGATGATTAAAATTCAACTTATTATTACATAAATTATGACAATCATTAACAACATAATTTATATTACATGCAGTTGCAATAATATATAGACAATGTTATAATATTTAGATACCAACATTTTTGTCTGATATTTATACTTAGATATGAAATTTAAAAAAAAATGTATTTTAAAATATATTCTTACAATATTTTTTTTAAGGTTGTCTTTTAGCACATATATTTTTTTTATATTGATGATACACAGTTGATAAGATGAAATAAAGTAGGAAAAAATCTTTATATAATTGCATACTGTACCTTCTGAACTACCATTTATTCATTAGTGATATACATTCACACACTAAGACATGAATTGGCTATACTACTATTAACACAAACTTTTTGCCCTGTCAGTAATGTCACAATTTTAAGCCAAATATCTCTTAGAGAAGTCTTCAAGTGTCAGAATTTTAAGCCAAAAATGTCTAGTCAGTTTTCATCAAAAATCAGAATTTTAAGAAAAAACTCTAGTCAGAGTTGTCGTCACTTTCCTTGTGTCTAATATGTCTCTTGACATTCTTACGTGGCTTGAATGTGTTGCCAGCAGAGTCTGTGCTCTGGTTCTTGTCAGACATCGGCTCACTAAATGGCTCATCAACCTCCTTAATGTCAACCTCACAATGCGGCTCATCAAGTGGCTCATCAATGAGAGCTGACGCCTCTGAATGAGGTTTGTTACTTTTCAAGTCTACATTATCAATCTGCATCTTCTTGCACCTTGGGCGTGTAAATGTCATTTTACCCTGTGAGCAGGCAGTTTCCTCCACATTATACTTGGCACTATCAGTCTCTGTGTACCCAGCTGACAAGCTTGCCTGCTTCTCTTTTTCCAGCCTTCTTTCTTCTAAAAAAGAAAATGCTGCATTAGCATTTGCCTTCTCCGACAGAAGTTTATCATCTACATCTCTGAGAGAGTAGTGGGTATATTTCTCTGGGTTCTTTTTAAAATCAGGTACGTTATCCGACCGCCGGCTGACTTTCCGGGGCGGGTGGTGTGGATGTCTGAAAGTGGCATCGTTAACTCTACCACAGTTGTCTGTCTGCTGTTTAGTTTCTTCTGGCTTATTACCTGTGACTGGCTCATAATCACAACTCTGGGTTTTGCCAAGCTTTGGTTTGGACAAAAACATACTTTTGTCTTTACACTGCAGCATAGATCCAACATCATCTTCCTCTTCTGGATCTTTTTTCATCAATTCAGGTTCATTATTGAATGTTGCTTTGGCCTTGAGAAAAGCTGAATGTTTATTCTCCAACTCCTGTAGGCTGGCAAACACATCGTTCCTACGAGATGTGAACAGATCTGTGCCAGAACGGAGATGAAAATCTGACGACATTTCTAGATCTGTTTTGTCACTTGGCTCCATCGATGCTTAGTCCTGAAAAATTAGCAGAAACATAAAGCCCATTTGATTTTATTGAAATGACTGGCTTAAAGCTACAGTGATGTTTTTTTTTATGCAATTTGATTAGAAAATCAATAATCAAAGTATTTTAACTATAAAAAGTACTATGATAAATGCTAAACAAAATTATTTTTAACGTTCATTGTCTGTTGGGCACAGTGCTGACCACACTAACCCTTTCTATGCTGAGGTCACATAAATAGTGAAATCAACTTCATCAGACCCAAGGATCACCAGGGGCAACTTTACTGGGTGTTTTACTGGATCTTATTATAGTACAATACAGTATGATACCATAAAACAAACTCAAATAGGATTGGGTTTCAGATTAAAGTGTGGTAAAGATATGTAATATGACCACATCATTTTGCATTATCAATAGCCAATTTACACCACTCATCAAGCCTTATCTGCCAGAGGGTTTCTTCAAATTTATCAACCATGAGCTTTTGTTGACTCGACCACGCCTCCATCACAATTAAGGATACGCGTCAACTGGTTATGCGCCATTGAGGCCATTGACTCCAATTTCAGCCTGCTTTTCTTTTTGGCTTTGCTTCCATAGCCTTTGTCCAACCAAGAACAAACTACAAGGTAGCAGTTGTTAGATTTTGGAGTTGTCTCTCCTGGAAGATTGGCTGTCCCCAGCTAACGAGCCTCATCTGCCCGAGGGTTCGAACTCGAGACTTCAGTTAGCAACCATGAGCTGTACCGACCTGAGCACGCCGAAAAATATCTGCTTCTGTGGACTGGGGGTTTGGGTTATTGTGGACATCCACATGTTGAATTTAACAACAAAATACTTATAAAAAATTTTTTTTAAATATGCACATAAAATGTAGGTTATACATTAAATCGGCAGATCTCGTGTTGAATATTCACAGCACAAGGGGTGAATAAATGTATCAGAAATGTAACTATATACCACCCACTCAGTTTCCTCCAGGCATATCTTCAAGGGGCCAATGAAACTCTACCCACCCCCACCCCCTCCCACCACTCAATGCAACGAGCCTGTCGGTTGGTTGAGGCCACGCTGGGGGGGGGGGGGGGGGGGGGGGACGATCTGGCCGGAATTCAAAGGGTCAATTCTAAATATCATCCACATTAACAATTAATAATGTAGCAAGGTAAACATTACATGTGTAAATTACTGTAAATGTATTAAAAGATTTTCAGCATGTTTTGAGAGGTTTACTAAATTTTTGTGGACATCCAATTTGGGGGGGGGGGGAGGTTAGTCAAAAGTAGACATGTGTGGACGGGGGGGGGGGGTCTAAAATTCTAAAAAAAAATTTGATGCCATATAATATAAATGGATGACCCCTAAACTGGAGGCCTCAAGGAAAAAGAAAGCAGGGTAGGCCTTGGGAACCCATTCTCTAGGAACTAGTAAATTACTAATTCATGACAAGTAACAACAGTTGTTTGTACTTGTAGTAATATGTACTAAGTACTATGTACTACTAGACTAGATGTAACTAGATCGATGTAGATTCGGTAATCTATCGTTTTAGCGTAATCAATTCGGCTGCAGTAGTAATGTGCGGGAGAGGTAGCTGATGAATATATTTGTTTAAATAAGTTTATTTAAGTCAAATTTTACAAAATATCACAGATAATTGATTTAAAATAACAAACAGTGACCAAAACAATTTAAATAACATGAAACTAACTTTAAACTAGGTGTTTGAGATAAATATTAGTAGAAAAAAAACAGCGGCCATCTTTCCAAATAAAATTTAGAGTAGTTTCCCTGGATAAAAATGCCTATTCGTATGTATATTGTGTTGACTTTGTTGTTTAATATACATACATGTCTTGTTTAATATAAGTAAGACAGAGGGCCGTCTTCTTATCTTTAATTTCATTTTCAAGTGAAATGAAGGCTATGTATGTATGTACATCTAAGATCTCAAAAAATTTTGGGATGTCCAACATTTACTAAACCCTTTTGTACGGATTAGGGGTCGTCCATAAATGACGTCACAATCGTAGGGGGGAGGGGGTCGGTAATTTTGTGACGATGTGTGATGAGGGGGAGGGGGTTCAGATGGTGCGACGTCACACTTTTGCTTTATAGATAAGAAATGTTAGAAAACGAATTTTAGACATTATTTAGCTTTTTAGAAAACAGTTTTAATAAATTATAATAGGAATTGATTAAAATACTGTATTTTGACATATTTCAGACAAGATTTTGGAAAAATATCGATGTTTAAAAAAAAATCAACTGCAATTTTGATGGGGGGATTATAGGCTGATGTGTGACGTCATTTTAGGGGGGGGGGTCTGACTTTTTGTGACGACGTGTGACGGAGGGGAGGGGGGAGGTAAAAATCGTCAAAACAAGCGTGACGTCATTTATGGATGACCCCTTAACTTGTCAATTATTAGGTCGTCCATATTCCTCATAAATGACGTTGGACTCAAAATATGGGACGGTGTAAAATATTTTTTCAAAAATGATGAAGAATATATTCGTTTTCGTTAGAAATTGTGATTAAGGGTTCGAGTATAGTAGAACTGCGATATGATATTAAATCATCATCTTGCTTTTAGTAACTATTAACTATTGGGTGAGAGGGAAATTGTCGGGAAAAGTATGACGTCATTTATGGGCGATCCATTTAATTAAGCCTAGTTGTTTATTTTGTCTGTAGACATTAGTCTTAGGCCTACACTTTTTTCTGAATTAAGATTATTGTGTTTTTTAAAATAGGTTCAAATTTTAATTAGTTACATATGAATACCACATGGTTTTTTTTTTTTTGCCTTCTGCTGTCATCAGTTTTGATTTCTTCAGTAGTCAATGTTTACCCCTCCCCACCATCCATTATTACAAAAACAAACACCCACAATATGTGTCATAGCGTAGATATATAGAAATAGACTAGACGAGTAGAGGTTACTAAGGACGGTACGAACTTGACTGTAGACGATTTGGTGCGAGAGTATTGTGCGCGTGTTCAATAAAATATGTGTGGCATGAGTGTGACGTGAGCATGGTGCGACAATGTACCGATGACGTAAGACGCAGCAGTGAAGTTAGTTGGGGGTTAGATATAGTAGAAGACGGACGTATTATTTGATATTGTGAAAATGATCTATAAGTGTGTGTTAATAAAGTTCATGTTATTTCATAAACTAAGTTGTTGACATTGTTAATTAGTGTCTGCGGAACATAAGATTGATTCCCGTCCTCCACACGAGTATAATAGTTGCCGTATAAATAGTAGTAGATCAGAATATATTGAGATTATATATAAACCGCCCATCACAATATACTGATATCTCCCTCTAGAAAAAAAACTAGATCAACGTATAGTTCGTAGGAAAATTAGAATCTATCACTTATTCGTCTGTTAAAAAAAAAAAGAAATACGTCATTTTCTCAACCACGCCGTTTCATCCCCCCACTAAGCACAACGTCACAAAGTTCGCGACGCGCGTGACGTCGTTTGTCATTAGGCTAATGTTTAAGAAAGATACCGCGTAATTAAAAAAAATCAAAACAGGCACTAAACGACTATGGCGATGAGACTTTAGTGACATTTAACCTGACGAATAGATCTAAATGACTTTAGTTCGGTGAATTATATTGGTGATTAATTTATTACAGTGGCATGATGTTCTCCCTCTACTATACAAATTCACGTGCTTTTAATTTCTGCAACATGCTGCCCTGAGACGTTCGGCTCTAAAATGCCCGTAACACAGCGGCTTCGGTAAATGCATTTAGGCTCCCGGTCCGACCTATAAACGTCTGTCCATTAAGCTCCACGCAAAACGTGTGATTATTATGTGGACATGCGCTAGTGGTGGTGTCAACAGGGGCCAAGCTCAGGTCTTAAAGGTTCTTCACGCTTTATAAAAGACAAAATTGATGTTCAGATATCGTCGGACTCTAGCATTTTGCCGACGGCCGTATTCCTAATGCACAGTCTTAGAGGCTGTCCACTGCTAACACTATTTTATGTTAAACTCAAGCATATACTGAGCTGTGGCTTTACATTAGCTCAGTGGCGTAGCGAGGTCGAGTGTCACCCGGTGCGACAAACTTTCAATTTTCAATTTGTCCCATTTTACCTGCTAGTCAATAATTGTCTTGGACTCTTGTCGAATATCGTTGCCAGGGGCTACTTGGTTTGAGCCTTGTTGTCAGAAGTTATTTCATTTGGAGTCAATATAGTGCGGCCTATTTTCGTCGGTAGGCATTTAATGACATGCCCTTTTTGGCGGGGATGATGTGCTGTAGTTGTTTAACACCGCTTAGTATAACAGGCATGCAATAGTTATGAACAAATGTATGCATGAAAACGAACGCTTTATGTTCCTCATTTTCATTGAGCACAGCTTTATAGAAGATTCCAAAATAGACGTCACGCATCCCCTCCCCGACCACCCTGCGTAAGTTGACGTCACATTAGCATTGCATATGTGACATCGTTTATGGACAACCCCATATAACTCATTTTGGGTATTTGGTATCAACATTTTGACAACAAAGGTTATTCAAAATGTATATAGGACTTGACATCTACCATAAATGACATCACGCACTTAAGGGGTGGAGTAACTGGTTTTAAGACGACGTTTTACGCGGGAAGTGGGAGGGGTAAGAAACGTGAAACGTTATGTATTTCGCCTAATACAAAAATGCTGAAAATATCTTTTTCATTAGAATTATGGCTTGACTTTTTAATAGACAGGGCAAAAAGGTAATTTTCGACATTACGACTATTTCGTGACGGCGAAAATGGGGGGTGGGGGGGGGGGGGGGGGGGGTTAAGGTGAAGAGAGGTCAAAAAACGGGACGTCATTTATGATTAAATCACTAATTAAAGGAAAAAAGCATGAACATATTAAATGAAAATAGCAAACAAACAATAACACAAACAATAAGAATGAACTCAAACTAATATTTAAATAAACATTAGATATGTAGTGGTAGCTCTATAAAAATAGGGAGTATCTTAATGTATAAAAATTACATCTCATAATAATAATTCTAGAACTGATGTTTATTGTCAGTCAATTAAATTGTTTAAAGGGCAGAATTTTAAAAAAAAAACGCATGCTTTGTATTTAAACACAAGACTAACCTATTTAATAGCAAACATCAATACATTTCCATACAAATAGAAATTAAAGGGAAATGACTCAAAATAATATTTTCTTAAGATGGCCGCTGTTTTTAATAGCAAATTTAGTACCTGTAACATCGTTGTTAAACTTTAATTTCCTGACATTTTTATTGATTTAAACCTTAAATGTGGTTTAATATTCAATTATCTTTAGTATTTTAGTAAAATATGCAAAAATATATTTATATTTAAGCCATATTTATTAGTTACCTTATCCCTACATTACTAGTGACGGCCGAATTGATTACGCTAAAGCGATAGATTACCGTAGATTCTACTAGACCTAGTAACTAACTTAACTAGTTTTTTTACAAGACTTACTTTACTTTACTTAGACGGTAGATGTAGCCTTTTTTGTTAGTATAAAATAATAATCATTAAAAAAGTTTTAAAAAACCCACGTTTTCTGATTGAACTAAAAAGTAGAAAATAAACGCTATACATCACAATAATGCAAGCGATCACTCTACTATAAGCGATGAAAAACGTGGGGCGCCGAAGTAAAAGTTATATTACTATTGATTAGATAATACTATTGACTTTTATTAGGGAGCTTGTAGAAACTGTATTAGAAACTGTAAGAAAATCACGGCGCCCCACGTTTTTGATCGCTTATAGTAGAGTGATCGCTTGCATTATTGTGATGTATAGCGTTTATTTTCTACTTTTTAGTTCAATCAGAAAACGTGGGTTTTTTAAAACTTTTTTAATGATTATTATTTTCTACTTTTTAGTCTTTGTCTGTTTGTTTGCAATAAAATCTTGCTATCCATTTTATCTTTTCACTTTTTTTGGGTAAACGAAGACAACTCGTAAAAAGACAACTCGTAAAAAGACAACTCGTAATAAACACGTTGTGTGAATACGTTACTGACTAGAACACATAGATTTGAACCCGTGTCGAGTGGGATAGCAATCGTGTGCCCAACCACTCGACCATATCGTCTCCCCCAAACTGGCCTACCTCCTGTAAGTTTTAAGTCGGTTCAAACTAAATTATCTCCCCCTAAGCCTGTCGCGTCGTGGAATCGTTCGCTTCACTGCGCGCGAGCTACGCGTCGCTGGTTTTTTTCTAATGGCTCGCTGAGGAGAATTATATATATAGATTATATAGCGGTCTAAAATGCTCAATAAAATGTTTCCATTGATCAATTTAGTAATAATAACAATTGCATATTCTATGGTCATCCAAAAGAAAGCTTCCCTGAAAATTTCAGCGCGCTAGCTAACTGGGAAGTGCCAGAAATTTCGATCGCAAGATTTGATTGGAAAGACAAACACAAAAAGACACAGAGAAAGCAAGTTAAAGAAAACGTGGGAAAAATAATAAAAGTATATAGATCTAGGCCTACTCTACTAACCCTTCCTACTAGTAGCCTAGACGTAGTAGAGTTAGCTGTTAGACTGTAACTGTAGTGTTACTGTTAGAAAATGTGTTAGACACTGTTAGAGTAGCTAACATTGATTGAACATTGAACAACAGGAAGACTTCGTAAGTTCGTTTGTTGGCATGACGCATTGGATTGGACTTGATTGGAGTGATTGGAGTGACTACACACTGCATATTATTATAATTAAAGTAGATCTAGATCTATATTACGTGACTACATTTAGTGCCTTAGTATTACTGCTAGCTTTAGATCTAGAATCTATATCCACTGATCTAAATTTATTTATGTATAGAAGAAGATCTGTATCTAGAAATTTGGTTAGGCCTAGGCCTGACCATCACTTGACGGAAAGCGAAGTCGCACTTTTTTATTTCCATCGCCAGACTAAAATTCTGAACTTCCTGTTTCATTGTTTTTTGTCTATCGAGAAGCTTTCTTCAATCCTTAATAACATATTCTATAGCCTAGTTAATTCTTTTTTATACATTTAAAAATAAGCTGACAGCAAAATGAGTGGAGGAGTCTACGGTGGAGGTACATTAATTAATAATTTTGTGCCATTTTGTTAGGTTTTAGGTCAATTAGCGTCTGCTAGAATCTAATTACAATTAAGAGTTTATTTCAAAATAAAATAATCACAACCAATTATCGATAATACCGGCATTACACACTGTTGTTGTTGTTAGTTTTAGTGATTAGTTTACCTATGGAACTGAGATAAATTTATTTAAAAAAAGGTTGCATAGCCAATCAACAATTATAGTAAAATTGGTTGGTTTATTGATAACAGGACTATTAATTATAGTCTATTAGATTAGCTTTTAAAGTTGGCATTAAAAAAATGTAGGCATGCTCCTAGTAAAATTAAGTTACCAAGTATTTTTAAAGTAGGGCAAGATGTAGGCACTAGTTGTTGTTTGTTTCAGTGAGTTAATTGTATGACTATCGGATCTCAAGACTAAGGGTAGATCTATGTATTTTAGATTTTAGACTAAGGATAATAATTATAATTATTCTTACTGTATTTCATACCACACTACTTGATTGAATTTTTGAACATCATCAGCATACCAGGGAATGTATGCTAAGAAAATTGATTTAATGGTAGGGCCTATATTATTTTAATTTGATATTTCTTAGATGAGGTTGGTGCAGTGGTGTTTGACATTGGATCATATTCATTTAGAGCAGGCTTTGCTGGCGAGGACACACCTAAGGTGGACTTTTTTCTACATTTTAAACTTATCCCTAATGATATTAAGAATACTACATTACTATTAAGTTGTAATGTAATTAGTCTTACTTTGAGAAAATATTGTCAAATGGATAGTATATAAAACAAATTCATTTGATTAAGATAAACAATACAGATTTTCTTGAAAAGCTTGTTTTATATTTATATGCCTATTATTGGTTTAGGCTGAGATACCAACACATGTTGGTGTCCTGGATGATATTGAAGCTTCTGTGGACATGGAGAATGGAGGAGACAACAACATCACCCCAAAGAGATACCTCATTGACACTGTGTACATGAAACATCCAGTTAAAGATATGGAGCTCTCAACCTTTCTTAGGGATGGAATGAGTAAGTTAATAGTTACAACTTTTCTCAGGGATGGAATGAGTAAGTTAATAGTTACAACTTTTCTCAGGGATGGAATGAGTAAGTTAATAGTTACAACTTTTCTCAGGGATGGAATGAGTAAGTTAATAGTTACAACTTTTCTCAGGGATGGAATGAGTAAGTTAATAGTTACAACTTTTCTCAGGGATGGAATGAGTGGGGTGTTAGTTAGAGAAGTAGAAAAAAAATGGTTTGATGGCTTATTATTTTTTACAGTTGAGAACTGGGACGTGTTTGAAAAAATGATGGACTATGTGTACAGCCGCAGTATCAAGTCAGATTCCAACCTCCATCCAGTTTTAATGTCAGAAGCTGCAGTAAGTGGTTTTATCCCCTTTAAGATTAACATCCTGTTTGAAGTTATAAAATTATCACAACACCACTCCTATCTGTTAAATGTAACCAATATATTTTCAGTGGATCACAAAAGCAAAAAGAGAGCAGTTGACAGAGATCATGTTTGAGAAGTACAATGTGCCTGCATTTTTCTTGTGTAAAAACCCAGTCCTTTCAGCGTATCCTTGAAAATTACAGTTACACAAAAAAAAAAATTTTTAATGTGCTTCAAATCTGATATAAACTTATATGGTGAAGATACCTTAACTCACTTGCTCAGATTTGCTAATGGTAGATCAACAGCTTTGATAGTGGACAGTGGTGCTACACAGACTTCTGCTGTTCCAGTGTATGATGGTTATGTAATCAGCCAGTGTAAGTGCTTAGGAAAATGAGCAGGTCTGAAAACATTTCCGACCCAGCAATGAAAATAGTTTTTTCTTGAAATTAAACGTCTGTTAATTCTGACTTCAGCCTGCTTTTTTCTCTGGATTTGCTCACATAGCCTTTGTCCACCCCAAAAATAATCTGCAAAGCAGCAGTTGTTTGATTTTGGAGTTTTCTGTCAGGCATTGCTGCCCCCAGCTAGAGTCCTCATCTGCCCAGATCCAAACTCAGGACTTGGCAATCATGCACTCTCCTGTACAAACACACCATCCCCAGACTCAAACAATAACTTTGTATTCAAAATGGTATATAGTTTTATAGTAGTTGTCAACATGTACAAGCACATGCCCCAAGTTTTGGTGACATGGGCTACCATATTCATGTTGCACACTGAGGTAAAAAAAACTTTCCAGGCCACTTCCTGGTTTATACTGAGATGTAGCTATTGCATTTATTTATTTTTTTGAGAGAACATTTTCTATTATTTTACTCAAAAAAAATCTGAAGGCTATTTACAAGATACATATATTTTTACCTATATTTCTTCAGATGAAGTAGTAATAACTGAATGTATCTGGAAAGTTAAAATAAAATCACTGCATTAGAAGTGAGTCAAAATTGAGCTACAAGTTTTACAACAAACCCACAGACACCAAGAACTAAATAAAACCATATACATTTGTGCTGTAGAGTACAGCTCTAATTTTGTATCATATTCAAGCAGTAATTAGAAGGTTGTAGGGGTCGGCGTGGTCGAGTCTGTAAAGTTCATGGTTGCTAAACAGAAAAGTCTCGTTCAAACCCTCAGGCAGATGATGCTCGTCAGAACTCCAAAATCAAACAACTGCTGCCTTGTTATTTGTTCTTGGTTGGACAAAGGCTTTGGAAGCAAATCCAAAAAGAATAGCAGGCTGAAATTGGAGTCAATGGGCCTCTATGGCACATAACCAGTTGAGACGTATACTTAATTGTGTTGTAGTGGATCCCTTCTAACACTAAAATTAAGGGCAAAGAAGGTTGTCACATTAAATTGAGCTAGCAAATTTGCCGTAACCAACTGACCCTTGTGCTATTGCTTTCAGATATTGTGAAATCTCCACTAGCTGGGGATTTTGTCACAGCTGAATGCAAGAAACTAATGGAGGAAATGGGCATAGAAATTGTCCCCCCTTACATGATAAATAGCAAGGTAGTGTAGCCCATGTAGTCTTTCTAATACACTGTTTTGTTATATAGTTTGCCAGTGTGTATTATGGTTTATCCTTTGATTTTAATAGGAGATTGTAGCAGATGCTCAGCCAGCAAAATGGAAGAAAAAAGAAAACTTGAATGTAACAAAATCATTTCACAACTACATGGTTAAGGTTAGTCACACTTTAACCTCTATATATGGTTAAGATATGTACAGGGTTGTCTACTTGTATGATTTTCCCAGTAATAATTACTGCTTTAGGAACCATTTCAAAATTAACTTACGATATATCCCATCTGACCAATTTTCTAGGAGTTTCTTTAGCCTAGTAATAGCCTTTTTTTTTTATCAAGAGTAATATTAGGCAATCTTAAATCCGTACATGCGCTAACTTATTTGTAAAGAAGGATTGCCTTGAAAATTAGTCGGAGGATAAAAAACAACAAAAAATGTGTAGACTTTTAAAAATTGGACATTTTATTAAAAATCTTTAGCCTTTATTTAAGGAATCCTTTTAAGTTGACATGCATACATACTGCCAAAAATGGTGTACTGATATTGATGTAATATTGTTTGAATGTGTACTCACTTCCAGGATGTCTTGCAAGATTTTGCTGCTACTATTGTCCAGGTTTCTGATGCACCTTACGATCAAAGGTTTGGAGCTATTTATACATTCATCATGTGATCTTGATTTCAAAAACTGAATTATTTGAATGTAAACAATGCCTGGGCTATATTTCTTGGATTATATTTGTCATGGCACGGGTTTGCCCCAGTGCGTCCTGTATGTAAGCTTTGAATGTACATTAACAACTCTCCGTAATAGTGAGGTAGAACACACTTTAGCGTCACCCAGGTGTCAGGGACGTAGAGGGGCACTCTCTGGAGCCCCCGGTTACACTACCGCAGGTTATTCATCGAATGTCATGTGCCACCTTTTCAATATTGTAGGGTGATCCTTAAAACTAACATAGGCGCCACAGTGCTCACATGATAGCCCGGGGTGCCAAATCGCACCATGCCACAGTCATGCCTAATTCAATTTAGGGAACGACTATGATACCCCAATCTTATCCACAGTCTATGGCACTGTTTAAAACAAACGTAGGTGCCATAGTGCTCATGGGATAGCCAAGGGTGTCAAACTGCACCTTGCCTAAGTGCCTGCAAACGTGTCTGATTCAATTTTGTGAACGACCATAACACCCTGTATTATCCATAGTCTATTGCACTGTTTAAAAGAAACGTAGGTGCTCGGGGAACAAAATCGCACTCTGCCAGGGCACCGCCGGTGCTGAGTTGAAAATTTATTTTACCGCAGGTACCATCCCAGGAGTATTCTCATCAACTCCCCATAATTTCATGGCACTTGGATGAACGGTGTTGAACTGAATCAGACTTTTATTTTTTATATACCATATATAGAAAGAAAAAACTTCCCAAAGTTTCATAGCGATCGGATGAAAGGTGTAGTAATGCACAAAAGTCTAACAAACAGACAGACAAACGCACACATACATTGCTTTTTATATATGTAGATATATACATATATGAAATTATAAAATTCCTCTTGTTAAATCAATACATGTGTTATTTTAGCAACATTTTTTAACAATGCAACCTATTGGTTTAAATGTCTAGCCAAGCAGACTCTATGCCTACTGTGCATTATGAATTTCCACATGGCTACAACCAAGATTTTGGCAGTGAGAGATTTAAAGTCTGTGAAGGTCTCTTTGATCCTTCATTTATTAAGGTAAATTTCATTATCTCTAATACACAATGTACCAATATACTATTTGAATTTAAAAAGAGTGAAAATGACTTAGCTGATCTATTATCATTCTAAAATTCTGTCAGGAATCAGGTGGCAACTCCATGCTAGGTGTTGGTCATGTTGTGACATCTAGTGTTGGTATGTGTGATATTGATATCAGACCAGTAAGTATAAGATCCTTTGCCTAGTCCCCTTTCACTTGAATGGATTTTTATTTATGTAAGCTAATTATACCATGACATGTTACCAGTTTTTTTATTAAGAATATTTCTGTTTGCTTCAGAGTTTGTATGGCAGCATTATTTGTGTTGGAGGGAACACACTGTTGCAAGGTTTTACAGATAGACTTAACAGAGACCTAAGTACCAAAACTCCACCTGTAAGATCATTTTTCTCACCAGCCACCAAAACATTTCTTGTTCTTTTGTCAGGCAATTTTTATTTAAAGAAATTTTTTTATGGTTAACTTCCAACAGAGCATGAGGTTAAAGGTAATAGCTGCATCAAGCTCATCGGAAAGACGTTTTAGTAGTTGGATAGGTGGCTCAATTTTGGCCTCTTTGGTTAGTATTTTATTTTCAAATCTAGGCTCAGTTTTAAAATAAAAACACCTTAAAATATATTTTAATACTTTATAACTGAATTTTCAGGGTGCTTTTCAGCAAATGTGGGTTTCAAAACAAGAATATGAAGAGGGTGGTAAACAGATAGTGGAAAGAAAATGCCCATAATTCCTTATGTTCTCATCAAATGTACTTCTTGTCACTAATCTTTTTTTTAATCTACTGTAAAATATGCTCCTATATAATTTCATACTGATGTTGTATTAATGTTAGTAATAAATGTGAACAAACAATCATTTTGTTGATCAAGAATATGTTTTTAATTTGTTTACACGTTGATCCCAAACTTATTTTTAAAGTTCTATAACATGATGGCACACACTCAAACGTACATACACACTAAGCTTGGAGAAGATTGGAAAGTCAAAATAAATCTTTGGCTTAGAAAATAGCCAAAAAATTAAATTAAAAAGGGTGTTTTTTTTAAAACAAGTGTAGTGGAACAATTATTGCACACAAAAATGCACTACATATTTATACACAAGAAAGAAAATCTACTACTCACTACACCAAAAAAAATCTAAGATGAAGACAAGTAAAAAGGTTGTACAGATTTCTAGAGAATCTGGTTACTAGAAAATGCAATTAGAAAGTTCCAGGCTAGTTTTTATGAAAATTTATAAAACAATGAATCCTTGTGATTTTTTTTTTTAATTTGAGTAAAACCTAAAAAATCTGTTTATTTCTTCTAAATGATACAAAACCAGCTCAAACAATTCCTAGAGCCCACTAAAGAATATTGGGATGCTTAAAACTGACTAGAAAATGCAGAAAATACATAAAGCTAAGAATGAAAATTGTAAATGCTCCTGAATATGATAATTACACAAGCAATGGCACCTTTATGAATTGCTTTAAAGCTAGCTATTAAAATCTGTTGTGTCTGTGAAGTTTTATGTGCTCTGTTTAAAAATGTGCCCTTCTCTATTTTGGTGTCATTTTGCAAACACAACAAAAATAAATGGTGTCATTCCTTAAGTACATAATACATTGAAAATTTAATGAAAAAGTCAAATAGAAAAAAATTCAAATGAAAAAAGTTCAACTCTATTGACTATTATATTGAGTAAAAATTATTTCTTGTACAGAATAACTATCAACAACATATATATAATATTGATATATTTATAGCAAATGCACAAAAAATTAACACCAAGAAAAGTGAAAAACAAACAAAAAACTGGACTACATTGAAAAATTCCAATCCAAAAATTATCTTTCTTTATATAAGGTGTGGGCACAAGTCATTTATTGTTTTTAGTGAATAAAATGACAAATGTAAATAAAAATTATTATTGCCAACTTGCATGCAAAAAAAATGGCGACAATTCAAACTTACCTTTTTCTTTATAAGCTAAAAAAATCTTATACCAAGTATAAATATTCAATTAATTAGTCTAAAAAACAACTAGTGAACAGAGTAAACAACGAAAGCTTATTTTTACTTTATAAAATGAGTTCCATAAAATACATTGTGTTTAAGAAGCGATAGGTCTGTTTGTTTTATAGACTGATACATGTTAGCAATACATCAACAAACTATATACAATGTCTGGTGTGTTTTCAAATTGGTTGACCTATTGTGGTATCTTATGGAGTAATTTTAAGCATGCCTCTTTAGTTATGTCCAAACTTGTTAGAGAAAATCTAGTATCAATTGCAAAAGAGAAAATTTAAAACCAAAAAGAAAAATTGTAATTATTAAAAAAAAAGTGCTTTAACACCAATAATCTGATAAACAGACAGTGTTTAAAAAAATCATGGCAGATAATTAGTACAGGACCAACAACGTAAAAGACCATATTTAATTAGTTCTAGCACACAAAGACATACCATCTAGCAGCAATTGTCAAAGTTGTTATATAACATACAATTTAATGTCACAATACATATCTATGGATCACATAATATATACAGATTATAATGTACCCGATTTATGCAGATTATTACAAGCATATGGAAAATACAGGAGGGAAAATGTATTAAATTGTATCCAAACCAGTTTTGAATATTGTTCATACACCTGGGCTATTGAGACAAAATAAAAATACATAAAGTCTGATCACATGGCAGTTTTTAACTGTACAATTATTTTACTCTTCACAGATAAATGATTACATGTTTTAGATCAAGTAGGATTAGTCTCAGATCTTTTCATTCATTCAGCTTATAAATGCAACTTTTTAGAGCAACCTCTACTTGTAATTAAATTTTCTTCTTCATTAAAGTTAGGACAATTTTTAACTAACTAGATTGTTTAAATTTTATTTTTAGATTGTTAATACTTAACAGTTTTAGAGTAAATTAAAGACTCTGAACTGAGACTCAGAATATACTGTCGTATAATTATTATTGATATATATGTTACTATAATATGTAGGATAATTACAATGAAATTTTTAATATAATAATGTAATTAGGGTGTGGATTTGACAATTAACAATTAGGTGCTGGCTTTAAAAAGTATACAATTTAAGAAAACCAATTTAAGTCAAAGGTTGCATTGATTTTTAGTAACAGATAATTACTGACAAAAAATTGCAGTTGTCAAATAAGCAATTAGCCCCCAACAAACCAAGCCCTTTTCCCATTCCTAGAAATTCTAATTAGTTTCCCTTAAAAAGTTATGTTTCTTCCCAAGCTCTTTTTTATTACAATTTTATAAAGTATTTATGAAAATTATACATGTACAAATGAAATGTAAAACAATATTCTTGTAGAATAAAAGCAAGTTCTCTAAGCTTCTCATAAACAAGCAGAGGATTCACAAATAATTGAAAGTAAATATAATTCTGACTACTATGAATACTACTGTATATGTTCATCAAAATCCTTTCTACATATCAGCTCTTACACAATAATGATCCAAAATATTTTTATTTATTTAAGAAAAATTGCTTCTGTTAGTATTTTTTAATCAGCTGTTAAATTATTTTATTTTTTGACTGGAATGTGAGGATGGAGGTGATTTAATGTGAAGAGGAAAAAAATAATTTAATAAACTACTTAAGATAACAATAATACTAAATATGCAGTACAAATAATGAGATGATTGGATCCTAAAACAATAATGCACTAAAAGGATGATTCAGATAATGTACAAATAAGATATTGCTACACTTTGTAAACATTTCAGGAAGTTTAAGAAAGTTTAAATTTAATTGATATATAACTCACACAAAAAATTGCATAAGAGATTTAGCCCTTAGTGTATTTGGTTTTGACAATTTCTCATCCAAAAACTAGCAAATGTTACAACCTTAGATTTTGACCAGTCTTTGACAGCCTTGGTTAAAAGAGTTTATAAAAAAAATAATTTGAAGGTAGTTGACCCCTTATGAAAATGTTTTATTAAGCAACTTTTTAAAACTTAAAGACTAGTTAAAAAATGTCATTCCCTGTGCTTCTTAATGTATTTTTGTCATTAACTGTGCTTCTTAAAACATTTAAATACAAATTCTGCTTCCAAACCTCAACGCAGAAAATATTGTCTAATTGGCTGTAGCAAACAACGAATTTAAAAAATAAGTCAATCTTTCTAATTGATTATGAATTAATTAAAAACCATGCTCCCTTAATAACCAGCAATTTATTTTATTGTTTTTTTTTTAATTAATAAGTGTCTATAACTATCATACTTCTTTTTTTAATTTAATGAAAAGTGAAGGAATGCCCACACAAATCTATGTACATCTTACCAAGCTGTTAAGATAAAAGTGAAAACTGCTCACGTTAAAAAAAACTGTTGGTTAATTTTATTAAACTCCTAAGTGATTTTAAATAATCATGCATGCAATGAAAAAATACTTCAATGGCACATTTAAGTGCTGAAAAGTTTTCTGTTAATTAAACAAGCACAAACTACAAATCTATTTTTTTTTATAAATGGTTAACAGATATTTTGTTCATAAGTCACCAAAACTGCCAAACATATATTAGGAGCCCACAATAACAAAAGCTTTGTGTAGTGACTGACTGTACAAAGACAAGAAATGATCACAAAATTTCAGTGGAAGTGCTATAAAAGAACATGAGACAAAGATTAAAACAATGAAACCCACTCTAAGCTGGAGATCAAAGAAAAATTTAAAACTACTGGTTTTAAAGTCATTTAAATTTTTGAAGAAAAAAATTTTTTCTTTTACTAAAATTTTGTCTAGGATATGAACAAATTATTAAATAGTATTATCAAATATCCAACAAATTATAATACAGGTTTTGCAAAAAAAAAAAAAAAAAAAAAAATATAAACCATCTTCTAACAAGGGCTTCTGGTTGATGTAATAATGCCATATACATAGAATGTGATAAAAGCTGGAATCAACAAGTCTATTATACAAATATATACAAATATCTCAAGTTATTTATATAAATAAATATTTAACAGGTGATATCTTAGGGAAAAAAATCTGTCTAGGTTATATTGGTATTGAAGCCCCCTAGAGGGCAGAAAAAGGCACACATACACTGTTAATAGCAAAAAGAAACAAAAAATGCCCATCTGTCAAATTCTTGAAAGTCATGACACTAGAGTTTTTGGAACAATGTGTTAGCCACTGTTTGATTGTAGGTCAGAGTCTAAGAGACAGGTGTAGGACAATTTTAAAAATGTGTGAAATAAAAACTGTAATATTGTGCAGTACAGTTTATCAAAAATTTGGATTTGTATCCATAAATTGCAAGAGTGAGCTTTTGTAAATCATTCTGACTATAATTTTGTGATTTATGCTGCACCTTTGATAAAAAGAAAAATAAATAATGCTGTACAAGTTAAAAACAAATAAACACTATACACAATTCCTTCCAAAGTTAATTTGGGTAGATTATTAAAATTAAGCAAAGCAAACTTTGTCAAATTATTTCATGCAACCCTAACAACTATGTAATAAAATCTGTAACAACAATTCCATATCCCACTAAAATAATTACAACACCAACAAAAAAAGTCGTAATATATAAATTGCAATGTTTAAAAACAAAAGTTATTAAATGCCTAATAGAAAAGTAAAACTGATGAAATGAAAAATATAATATTGTATCTGATTGCATACACCTGCACCCATATGATTTTAACTATTAAGTTTCTAACACTAATAAATTATTAAAATGAAAAAATGTAATAGCTTATTAGATCAAAATATTTGATTAAACATTTCAACATATGAAAAAAGCAAAAATACCAAACATTTTCTAACTTTTAAAATATTTAACAGTTTACCACTATGCAATACCTTTAAAAATCCAATTTTTTTTTACTATAATATAAAAATTCTTTCTTTTTAATATCCTACAGATATAAAACTTTACAAGAATGCCATCACATGTTCAACAAACAATTATAAGACTTCATTTTCAATTACCATTTTAAATATGGGCTGTTCAAAATAGTACAATGTGTATTTGCAATTCAAGTTCAACTTTATACAATTAACCTGAATCATATTAAGAAATATCTTTGACAATAGTTGGTGCAAGACATTTTCTAACAATGATTGCAAAATATACAACATTGAGGTCTTATCTCAGCCACATGAATGTGCCACTGTGACAACATTACAAATACACAGACATATACTTAGAATATATAGATATAAAACACCCATCACCAATAGAATCCTTTACTGAATAGACAAATATAAGAAAAAACTATCTTGCATTGCAGCAAGTTTTATTTTTTTTTTGAGGATAGAAATATATTCAAGTACATTGTTATAGCAAACAGGATAAAATGAAAATAAAAACCTAATAAAATTTAAAATAAACAACCATGAATTATTTACTTCAGGCAGCCGAAATAAAAAGATTTACAAATTATTAACTGAAAATTTTAAATATTTGATTCATTTTTAAACATTTGAACATTTTAGATAAGTTACTTATTTTAAAATTTATTTCCAAAAAAGAATTTGAATAAAAAAATAAGCAATGCTTGAATAATGCAATCATGTTTAACTAATAAGTGGTAAAAGAATTTTTTGTAAAATGATTCATCAAGCAAAGTACTGAAACTGGCGTGTTTTTACAGGACTAATTTGGTATGTTGCGTATACCCCAGGAGGAGCTGCTGATTGTGCGGCTGAGGCCAAATATCCTGGACCTGTAGCTGCAGCCGCCGCCGCTGCTGCAGCATAATGTGGGTGAATCTGGGCTGGATAGGTTGGTGTGAGTCCTGGTGGGTGAAGCACAGGTACAGGATGCATGTGGGCAGGCAGTGGGTGAGAAGAATACTGCAACTGTCTAGGAGATTGATGAGCTGGTGGAGGTGCAACTGTAGGAGAAAATGCACTGTGGAAAAAGAAAATAAAGAGATATGCTGAAATATTGCTAACATTTTAAAATCCTGTATCAAGACTAAGATTTTTAAATTAACATACCCAAACTGTGTGATTGAAGCAGAGGAAGGCAATGTCATCTGCTGATGTTGATGAGCAGGTAGCAAGTACTGATGTAAAGGAGAGCTATGAAGAGGAGCCATACGCCGGTAATCTCTGCAAGTGATGTAAAAAATAAAATAGTGTGTTGTAACACTAAGAGTTCTAAGAATTAATTACTCCACATCCAAAAACAACTTACCCATGGCTAAGATCTGTATTTAAAAGAACAGGTTGACTCAACTGGACAGGAGACAACTGGCTCATGCCTGATCCACCAGCCTGCTGTACACAAAGACGCATATTGCCTCTACCACTCAGATGAGATGCAGCAGTTAAACCTTGGGTACCATTTGACAAGTTTCCACCAGCAACATTCATTGATATTTTAGCAGCAGCAGCTGTTGGAAGGGCTCTCACAGTGGGAGAAACATAAGCAAGTTTTCCCTGCGCAGCAGCTGAACTCAACTCAAGCTCAAAAGGTGTCAGTTTCTCAATCTTTGGAGACCGGCATCGCAGCCTATCTGCCACAGCATGCATTTCCTGTTTTGGCATGTATGGACTAACTTTTGCATGTTGTTTGCTGCTGGTATGGCTACTAGTGGTAGTAACATTACTACGGGGCAAAAAAGAACTGGTGCTGACATCAGACAAGCGTAAGTGGGATAAACTGTTACTGCTGCTAGCACCACCAAAACTCTGAAATAATAGAATGGTGAAAAATATTTATAAATGTACAGTGAGGGATTATAACAATTCCCAACTTTTTCAATATTTTATTTTTAGTAATATGTGTACGGTCTGTTAAACTTTGACCATCTTGCGTGTGTTGTGTGTATGTGTAATTCCCATAAATTGTGTTTTAATGTGGTTAAATAGTAGTGTTGGTCAATGGCTTACCTGTGGTGTGAAAATGCTATGAGAGACTGGCAGCCTGTCAATAAGCTCATGTTTAATATTGCTTGTGTTGAGGACATGGGGCTGCTGGTGATGCAAATGGCAGTGTTGCTGAACACGCCTGGCATTACTGCTAGTACCACCAATACTACTTGGACTCACTGAAGGATATGGCATGGCTGCAGCAATGCCTGCTGCTAGACTAGTTGTGCTATTTGCAGAGTTTAGAAGGTGCCCATTTGTTGCTATGCTATCTTCATTGTCAGATTCATGTCCCTCAGCAACTGTCAAATAGCTATCATCCACTGTGTAATAAAAATGATTAATTTAGTATGCCAGTAATTATTATGTATGTATTGTTAAAGAGTTTTAATGGTTAAATAATTCAAAAGCTAGAACATACCGAAAGTCTGGACTAGTGCAGAATCTGAAAAGCTAGTGGGAAAGTAGCCAAGGCTTGTTTTAAGTGTGTTATCATGACGCCCACTGGAAAAGTAAAAAAAAATAATTGAGCTCAAATCTATTTTTTAACAAAATAAAAATAAAAAGCTAGCAAGTGGCTTTCTGGAGAAAATAATCTAAAGCATGCATCTTATTCTAGAAAAAAAAAAGCACCTTCGTGCAAGTCGAGAAGTATGACTGTCGTTAAGACCAGAGTCAGTTTCATCACGAGGCACATTTCTTAATTCAAGATAACGATCAGACTGCGCTTCTTGCTGTGTTTGCCTGTGGTGATGCCTATGGTGACGATTGTTGCAACTGCGTCCACTCCTAAGCCCATCTCCTTCGTCTTCACTCTCAGAGCTAATAGTGATGACACTGGGCACAGGACTGGGTGTGTCTCTGCACACAAAGCAACATTGGGTCAGGAATAGAGTTTAGAAAATTAAATATTTAATTAGAGCTATTTCGCTAAGCTACACTTAGTATGTTAACATTTTCTAGCCAGAAGCCTTTACATTTAGCCTAACTACTTTCTAATCAAAATGACACAAGACTAAAATTACACACCTTATGACAATAAATGGATGCCTAGGCAAATGTTCATGTGATGAAGAAGCCAATCCTGCAGTTTGAAGAAGAGGATATGAAGTGGATAGGGTATGGCGGAGGTGGGAGGAGGCTGAGGAGGATGCGGAGGACCAATCAGCAAAATGGAGCAGAGTAGCTTCTTCTGTTGACTGTGCTCCGGGGTGAGAGCTTAGCGAGTCAATAAGTGACATGGGTGGGGTGCTTTCTTTTACTCGTTTTTTCACAGGGGAAAGTTGAGTTGAAGGTATTTCTTTATGTTGTCTGTAAAAAAAAAATATTTGTAGTTACAACACAAAAATTCCAAATCTAACAGCTAGAATTAGTACGGACAAGGCTTACCTATAACGGGTAGGCCTTTTGCTGCTCTGTGCAGAGGGATGTCTAGCAGTTAAAGAATAAGAGGTTGGAACCATTCCTATGTTCCACTGTTGGCTGGAGGTGCTCTGCAATGTACATTATTTAGTTTTCAATAATTCAGTAAATAGTTTAGTAAACCAAAATAAGGTCAATCTTTCAATAGTAATAACACATCTGCAGGGTTACAAAGAGTTCACATGATATAAACTTAGGCCTATCAAACATTACCTCCTTCAGTGATGTAGAACTTAGTGATTGAGTTTTGTGTGTTGTGAGACAAAAAGTGCACCAAACAATGAAATTTTAAAATCTGAATTTAAACTACTAGCCTTGGAAATGCAAATTAATGAAGAAATTCTGAATTAAAGATGTTTACAAAGATTTATTGCCTTTACAAATTCATTTTTTAATGTTTTTTTATTACTTGACTTTTACGCCCTCAACTATCTGAAGACCTTTTTCTAAGATACTTGACAATTTCCAGACTGCTCACAAACCTGGCTCTGATACTCAAAAAGGTTTTATCACCGCAATAAAATTAAAACAAAACTTACCATGGGCAAAACAGCTGTAGGTGTAGATTCGAATGTGTCTGTTCCAACCATGATGGGCTGTCTCCAAGCCTCAGGAGGAATTGCTTCTTGCAAATGAGGAATCCGCTGTGCAGCTGGTGCTAGTGAAGGCCAGGGACCCATCACAACAGGACGAGAACTTGCCCAGTTTCCATTCTAAGAATAAAGTAGGATAGAAAGATGTTAACATAAATATTTATTATAATTCACTGATTAGTGTAAATACATGTGAAGAATGTTCATTTACTTGTAAAATATAACCATTTTGTTTTAAATATAGACATGTCAAAATTAATTATCTTGAACTATTTGTTAAATGGTAAACTTGTAAATCAATTAATGAATTATATATACTTTTGTAAGTAGCAAGATGCGTAAGATACATATAATTTCATTTTGTTTAAAATAATTTTTTTTATATCATGAACAGCTAATATCTGCTAACACAGCAAACCTTGCTGAATACAAATCAAGCATTTCACCATATTAGAATGACTACACTACAGCATCAGACAAACTGACCCAGGAGACTGGTTTAGAAAGAAGCATCCTGTGACAAGGCAGCATGTTACTAAAATCTATCTCTAATTCCCAACTGACCCAGGAGACTGGTTTAGAAAGAAGCATTTTGTGACAAGGCAGCAAGTTACTAAAATCTATCTCTAATTCCCAACTGACCCAGGAGACTAGTTTAGAAAGAAGCATCCTGTGACAAGGCAGCATGTTACTAAAATCTATCTCTAATTCCCAACTGACCCAGGAGACTGGTTTAGAAAGAAGCATCCTGTGACAAGGCAGCACGTTACTAAAATCTATCTCTAATTCCCAACTGACCCAGGAGACTGGTTTAGAAAGAAGCATTTTGTGACAAGGCAGCATGTTACTAAAATCTATCTCTAATTCCCAACTGACCCAGGAGACTGATTTAGAAAGAAGCATTTTGTGACAAGGCAGCATGTTACTAAAATCTATCTCTAATTCCCAACTGACCCAGGAGACTGATTTAGAAAGAAGCATTTTGTGACAAGGCAGCAAGTTACTAAAATCTATCTCTAAAAAATTATGTTTTCATCTATTCAATTTTTTAAAAAAAATATGTTTTATTTTACAAGATATTTATTTACATTTTTGAAAACTAAACCATAAAAAACTTGATAGTTATCAAATTTCTGCACATTCAAAAAATACAACTGTTAAATAAACAAAGTATACCTCACATTTATGCAATCAAATTCCATGTAAAAAAGGAATTTTTTTTAATAGAAAATTGAAAAGTAATGATTTTTTAAAAATCTACATGCTTATTTAACTGTTGACAAATAAAGAAGAATTTTTAGAAGCAAAATATTTTTTTTTTAGAAAATTATAATTTTTACCATGGTGAATAGCCATTTTAACTGCAACTTTAAAACTTATATTTTTTAATGAAGTTGGAAGTTTTAAAGAAAGCATACTTGTGATAGAATAATTTAAATGTGTATGTGTAATCTAAATGATGATGAATGTGGTGTGAAAAAAGAGTGAAAAGCAAAAATAACTATTGATGAAAAGCCTAATTTCAAATGTCAGGTTTGATTATAATATAAAGTGAAATTGAAAATCAAATGCTAGCTTTAAAAAACACATAAAATTAGTCATGCTTGAGATTAGAAATAAGCAAAAGTTTAAAAAACTACTTTGGCACTGACAGCCTAAATAAGATTGCTCAAATAAAATTGGGTATTGTAACTCAAGGAAAAAAAATTCTGAATACGAAACACTGATGACCATACTTAAAAAAGAAATTTGTTATAAGCAGTGTTTTAATGATGCTGAATTATTTATTTTTATTTAATGCATTACATTGGCTTTCGCATAAATGTAGAATTTTAAGTTGTTATCAAATTTCATGTACTGCGTCTAGGAAAATACTCTATACTATCTCGTTCTATGGGTTACTGGACATATCTGTCATCCAAATGAAATACTTGGTTCTTTGACTGGTCATTTTCTTTTAAAAGCTACTGGTAAAGGTGTGCAGCAATATCCTACCAAAACATTTGTGTTTGTACAGATGATGCAATTGCTAAGGAGATTTGAAAAGGTTAAAAGCAGCCCACAGCTCATTAGGATGATACATTTGGAAATATGTAAAATAAAAAAAAAACCTGTCTATTAACCATGTAAAATAGAATTTTCTTGATGTTAATGTATTAGTATATCAATGTAATGTTTGCTGCAGTATTCTTTTGTACATGGGAGTGAAAAAAAACACAAACACGCTATAAAACAATACTTAAAATACAAACAAAGCAAGCTAAAATTTTAAATTGTCTACAAAGCCATAACACATGAAGCTATTTCTACGTTGGCTTCATACAGCCAATAGGTTAGTTGAAAAAAAAAACTCTTTAAAGTAGGACCGATTACTGTTACGTACAGCCATGAGGACTGGTCTTCCAGTTTCTACCATGGTAACAGGGGTCAGCTGAGATGTCTAACAAACAAAAAAAAGTAGGTCACTATTCACACAGAACCTAACTTGATACTGTTTAACATTGGACCATAAATGCTTTGTGCTAAAGTTTAACGTGCTAAAGTTTAACTTTAAAAATAGACAAATATTTATTAGATAAGTATAAATTTATATAGGACAGTACATAAAGCACTTTGTTATAAAAATGTAGTTATGCTGGCAACCAAATCAGTGAATTTGTTCAATAATGCCTATTGATAGTTTATTTGCAATGTGGACGATGTGTTTTAATGTTATAGTAAAGAAAACAAAAACGTTCATTAATATACAGCATGTTGACCCACTGGGAATCTAATCATGAAGAAAATATCAGAATCAATGTAGTGAATGATTTAATTGAAGAAACAATTTAATACCTGACTAATGAGCTGAGGTTGTAACTGAAGCGTAGGAGCAGGCTGAGTAACCATGGAAACCGCACTTGATCGAACAGGTGAATTCAGCCCTGAAAAACAAGTTCATGTATCAAATAAGTAAACTAAAAAGACAAATTATTGTACTTGTAGATAACTCAATTTGTAAGTCAACTGACCTGGCAAAGTTGCAGGAACTACCAAAGATGGCATACACAAGGACTGCCTAAAAGGATCAGAACGTGCAAATTGTCCAGATGAGCGCTGAGCTGCAGCAGCAGCTGCAGCTACTCTCTGGTCAAGGCCTTGACCCACAGGTGTAGCTTGATATGAAAGATATGGACCAGATGGAATGGAATACTGGAGATACTGTAAATCTGTAGCACTCTGACTATGACTGTTAGATGAAGACATCTGAAAAAAAATACAAGAAAATAAAATACCTGACAATCACAAATATAAACAGACTATATATACCAGTGAAAATACAGCCAGAAGCATTTAATTTAAATTTATTTACCTGCGAATGGAGTGCATTGATCTGGTTATTGAACTGGTTGTTGTTAAAAGTAAGAGTAAAATTTCCAGAAGAGGAAGGCACCACACTGTGCATAACACTACTGCAGTTGCTGTCTATCATTCGGTGGGGGCGTTTGTAGGCAATATCCATTGCACTTAAACTTGCTTTGTATCTACAAAAATGCGATCAGAATTACTTTTTATTTTAATCTATAGATTTCTTATAAAATCCACAAATCAAATCAATATATCAATACCAAAATAATCCACTCACAATATTTAACCATTGATCTTCAACATGTTACTAGATCTAATGTTTTTGTATAGATCCCTCTTTTTTTGTCATTTCTAAATTAATTTCAAATATAAATCTTTTTACTCACATAATTGTGTGAGGATAATCTTTGAGGCGATCTAAGCTCACAAATTTATGCACAATAGCTTCTCTGGGTGTAATGCGCCTTTCCTGATCCAGTGTGAGCATCTTCTTTAGTAGTTCTACAAAATCTTGCCTATCCATTTTTTCTACAACCAACTCACTCCCCTCCATGTCTGTAGGGACATTGATCTGTCAAATAGACCATGTTAATACCAGTAGTAATTAACAGAAATACATTTATTGATGCTCAAAAAAATACACCAAACAACTCTACCCACATTTCTTAAATCTTATGACTTTTTAAGCTTACAAAATTAAAACTAAAAAATTTAAAATACATAAATTAACTGTTCAACTTACATCTTTTCTCCTTACCTGGCCAATATCCTCCAGGCAGTTAAAGATATATTTTCGAGCTTCTTTAGATTTGATTTTTGTTTCAAGCTCATGTTCCTCTGGAGACTAATAAAAATTTTTTTTTTTAAGACTCAATGTGTCTCAAAATACTATTTAAAATTACAAACATACAACAATTAAATTAAAATTTGCAGGTCAACTTGTATTTTTAGTAAGAACAGAATTCTTAAGTTCCCATAAATGGGCACTAAATACAAGACTAAGAAATTGAGAATAATCATTTGCTAGATGTTATTACCTTTAGTCTCCAAAAGGGGTAACTTCCATCTGAATTGTCTCGAACAAAGAAACGATTGGTTTTCGTGGCCGCACTCAGCATGTGCTCAGCAGGCAGACCTTGGGTTTGAGAGATGTAGCGAATCTGTAAAAAGTAATTCATTGACTTGGATTAGACATAACATTTCTACAGCACACTTAGCATTTCCAAAGAATAAAGTATACTTGCATAAATATTGTACTTAATGTATCTGCATAGTTTTATGTTAATGTTCATTTTACACTTAATTATGTGCATTAAACAAGATAGCTTAAGATTTAAGATAGCTTTAATTGGCTTGTTTACTAAATAGAACTAGTTAATAGATAATTAGTTCAAAAAGATTAATTAATAAAAATGTTCTAGGTACTTACAAATTTTGAACATGCAAACCATACTTTTTAAAACATTTACCTGGTCATATTCTGATGAGCCAGGATAGAGCGGCCAACCAAGAAAAAGTTCAGCAATAACACAACCCAGAGACCACATGTCAATAGCCTCACAGAAAGGTAGACCCAGCAGAATCTCTGGTGCTCTGTAAAGATAATATTTTATTTTACAACATTTTTTATTTTACTGCGTCAAAATGAATATGAATAAATAAAAATAATAATTAACAATATAAATTTCAGTTATTTCTTTAGTTTTTTTAAGGTCCAAATAACAATTCTTGATCTTGGTTTAGATATACCAGTATTGCAATAATAATTGTATTAATAATGTGCATTAGGCCTATGTATCTATATTTTTTAGACATAGTGTCTAATTTTTTAATGTAAGTATTTAACAGTTAAGTCTGTTAAATGCAATTTATTACTTATTCATATGGTAAACAATAATACCAGATGGAATAGCTGACAATGGACTAATATTTATTTAAATCAAGCGTTTGAAATTATTACTAGATATCTAGATTTTTTAAGAAAAACAGAAATTTTAGCCAAAAATAATTTTCAAAGTAGAATAGGCTTAGATTGCTATTAAAAATTGCCATATAATAATCACCCCCCTCCCCCTCACACCATACACGGCTGAGAGGTCAATGTTATTTCAGTTTTGAAATCAGTAGGCCTGTAGCATTTAGTACGATAGGCCAGTGACAAAAAGCATCATCAAACAGAGGGACAGGATGAGTTCACATAAGCTTAGAAAGCAGGTATAAGGTAGGTTGGAGAAGTCTAGTCCTGGGTCACTCTGAGATTAAATAAAAAGAAACTGGAAATGGTGGGGGTAGGTAAGATTTAAAAGCAGAAGCTGGATTAAAAATACTAGCGGGTATAGTATACCTAACTTAACAAATATGCATGAGCCCTCAAACGGACTCATGTAATGTACGTTTTCTTTAACTTTAATGAACGACAACAATTTAAAATACGTTTTCTAATTTTTAATTGTTAAAATATGTAGCAGAAAAAAAGTAGGACTGGACATTCTAATTCTGATAAATTCGAAAATCCGCCGGAAATAGAGAAAAGTCACATGCGTGTATAGACCTAAACATGAGTGCTACCATAGTATTGAAATCTTATCACGCATCTGGGGGTGGTGTTGCATCAAGAGCAATTTTTTTTCAATTTTAACAAAGACCTTATGCCCCATCAAGGGACGGGTGCGAGAGCGCTCAGTGCAAGCCAGATAGAACAGGTATACAAAATATTTTTCTCGACTATCATTACTATCAAACCAAGAAACGTGTTTGGAAAGGTCAGAAGGTCAAGGTGACAGCAAGTAAGTCACAAGCATAGCCAACGAAACTGCGGTGAGTACCCTAATGCGAAAAAAAAACGTATTTTTAAACGAGTACACTTAATACTTAAAGGGGAGCTTGACACAACGACTGATGTTGACTGGGAAGTTGTTTTTTTTTCCACAAAGCAGATTTAAATGTGTAAAATGTCATAGTTAATCATTGAATAAAAAAGAAAACCCACAGAATTATAAGGCGTTTTATTATTTTTTTGTCCAGTACATGCAATAAAACGTAATCTATATCTTTAATTTAACCCACCCTCACAGTCGTAAAAACTGGAAATAAATTCTTAGGGCCAACTAACTTTTCGGAAAATAGACCTGACAGTTGTTTTTCTCTCTTGAAATAATAAACTTATTAAAGCCGCGTTAAATTTGAATACTGAAATAACAGCGCTGGTAAAACAGACTAAACACGACTGTGTTGGCGGGGTCACAGAGATATGCCTAGCAATCACCGCACAACACGACCAAAAGAGGCCGCGGGGGTGGGTGGTGGGTTTGACGGAGAAGCGTGTAGAGAAGGGTCTCCGAAAGTGGAACGTGACAATCATTTGCCAAGCTGGTGTAGGCTTATATAGTAGATCTATATCAGATGGCGGAATGTTGCAACGTATTGAAGACGCTCATTACTCAAGGCGTCGGAATATTTATTTTAAATAATGATAAAATATGTACAGATACTTTGAAGTCAAACCTTTTTGTGAGAACGAGACCGGTTAAAATATACAAAAAATTCCATTTACTAAAAAAAATCGTAAAGATGGACATTCAACTACCCCTACAAGGTAATCATGAATGAAAAGTAAAACAACTCGCATAAATTGATAGCACTGGATTTATTGCTATCTTTTTCTATCAACAAATACAAAAAGGTATGACCTTGATGTGCTTTAAGTAGGTTTGTTTGTTTAGTTTGATTCTCTTTAAATGTATGTTTTAACTCGTACAACCATGCGGACGAATCACATCAATCAACTTTAACCCCCCCCCCCCCAGGGGTCACACCCAATAGACGTCATAAATTGATTATCCACGACACATGTGCAATGGGGGATTAAGTGCGAAAATATTTTCTCAGTCAGTTTGATTTTAGAATTACACAAAACTTTCACCACCTGATAAATGTATTCATACAGCCTAAATGTGTATTCACGTCACACGTCAAACCACAAACAACGGAGGCAATAACACACAGGTGTAAAAAAAAAAAGTGAAAGAAAATGAGAGGGCGATACCACAAAGAATAGTGGATGGAAACAATCACATAGAAATGTTTAAAAATGCAACAACTGGCCCAATAAGACCAAACAGATAGTTACTATGCTAGACCAGTGCTAAAATGTGTAGTTCGAACAGCTATGCCGTTTTGACAAGCGCATGTGTCATTATAAATTCCTGACTCCACAAGGCAAGCTGAAGCAAGTATCACCCAGCCCTCAAGAGCTGGGGGCGAGCCCTAATCCACCAAGTGGCAACCCCAATCAGACTCAATCAGGCGGCCCAATCTCCAACAACGAGTCGTGTCAAAAAATAAAAGGCTTTTGCAGGGGGCGGGATGTGTTGGTAGACGAGAGAAAGGTCAAGGGGAGATTGAGTTGGACAAAGACAGCCGAAACTAATAATAAACCAAGGCCAAGATTCAGTTTTTCATGGAAAATATTACAAACTTGCATTAAAAATGAAGTAGGCCTATACAAGATCGATTCATTACAGAAACTAATTTCATCAAAAACTATTTTTTGCTTTGTAATCCAAGTATTGAAAGCAATAAATATTAAACACATGCTATTTTAAGGGAAAACAATTTTTTTATTATGGTATCAACATACATTAGGGCACCCAGGAATTATATAACCCCCCTCTCCTCTGGTTACCATAACTATTACTATTCAGCTAATAAAAACTGTTATGAAAGCTTATCACATAATGATGAGAAATAGCGGGGGGGGGGGGGGGGGGGGGTAAATAAAGCACATGTGTCATTTTTACTTCTATTAATCAACAATCAAAATCAAAGTAAACATACAATCATCTATTAAACTGTCAAATATCAAATACATGTAAGCATGCAAAAAGCTAGAAAAGAAATGTAAGCATATAATCACCTAACAAATAAATGTAAACTGTATTTTCATATCATTCTTCTGTCTTAAAAAAGTAAGATGTATGGACAGCAAAGATAAAGGGAAATATATATAAGAGATAAAAATAAGTATAAGGATATGACCTACAACCCACTCAACTGCCAGCAACTTTGAATAAACACAAGCCAAGGTGAGAAAGATGAGGGAGTCAAACTAAGATTGGAAAGATGAAAGACATGAATGAGAATTGGAAAACAAACCAACATTTTACTTCAGTGGAGGGACAAAAAGGTGTACAGAACAAAAAGAAAACTACATATCTACTACTTTCCCTACATCAGTGGATTCACCACATCAACACAATTCAATTATTTAGTCTTTAGATTTAGCTACACTGTAAAATATTTGACACTAGTGAAAATAAATCACATCTGAATGTATGCAGACAAAAACAAAAGATTTTTACATTACTAAGTTAAAGATGTTTTGTCAAAATTTGTCTATCAAAAAAAATATAATAAAAACAAAGATAATATTGTTAACATTTACATGTTTTCAACAACTGGATCTTTCATTAAGAAGCTGCCCAAGAAATGTTTATTGCAAATTGCCATGCAGAAAGTAATTGCTACTTCAGTATTAAACATACAATTTAAACTTACAACAAAAAGATAGTTTTACCAACCAGAATATGGCTAGATAATCTAATCTTAAGTTTACTATTCAATTCTCGCTGATGGCAGAACATTCAACAATGCAGTAAGAACCATAGTTACATTAACACTAAGTAGACAACTACGTTTATACTTTAGAAGTATGCTTACAAGAAACATTATTTTAAGATTCTTCTACTAATTCCAGCTGGATGTGCCTAAGCTATTTTTTGGCTCATACCATCTTGACCCTAATGCTAATACACATGCAAATACAAAATATCACAAAGACAACATTAACATACTGACACCTGTACAAGCCAAAATATTTTTTTAATGAAACTGGATATACTTCTATTAAACTTTGGCCCTATCAGCAAATAATGTAGAGCTTTTAGTAAAATCCCCTTCAAGTTATACAGTCTGGTATTTGAGCACACATTTGTTTACAAGTATTGCGAGTAATCTGATTGCTGTATAAGTAAAAATATGTATTTGTATCAAGAAAAACAAGTATGATGTTTTGATGTATTTATTGCATTGTTTTCAAAGGACTAATAAACCATGTTCTCAATCATATAATGATTAAGTCCATTAAGACAAACTATTCTTGTTTGTCTATGTCACCGTCACAGTAAACATTCTGATTATTAAGCTGAATGGTCTGCACAGGAGAAACACATGAAAAGATGATTAAAAAGTAATGCGATATTAATTAACTTGTCCCACAAATTTTAGATGTATTTTTGTTAGAACCTAAATCACTAAGCAAAAAATATTATTTGAAGTTAAACATAAAACAGTTGCATGCTTTACACAACATAGATTGAAAGAATAAAACATATTAAAACACTTAGGTTTACAACTGATCAGATTAGAAAAAAATTTCCTACCTGTAATACCGTGACTGAAGGTAAGTGGAACAAACAGCCTTTGAAACATGACTAGCAGATCCAAAATCAATAACCTTCACCCTGTAAGGGAAGCGTACAGGGTCCACAAGCATAATATTTTCAGGTTTAAGATCTGCATGTATTAATCCAAGCTCTTTCAGCTTACCCAAGGCATGTAGTACCTACAGAGATAAGACAATGATTACAAAGGGATAGAAACCTATTCAACAATAACACTGGTTTGCTCAGTTATTATCAATTGTCTAACACCTTTAAAGCTATACCATATCTAATATGAAACGAGGTGCAATATTATAAATTAATAATTCAAAATTGCATTGGGCTTAAATTAATAAAAGTGCTAAAAATACTCCTAAAATAATGTTTCCTACCAAGTGAAAGGAAGAAACCTTACTAATAAAAATTAAATTTTAAAATACCTGATATGTTATTGGTCGAATATATTTCAGTGGAAGAGGCTGGAATTTATTCTGCTTGAGAAAATCGTAAAGATTTTGCTCTAACATCTCAAACACAAGACATGTATGATTCTTGTGCTGAAAACATTCATAAGCCCTGACAAAATTGTAGTCATCTGCACTTTCCTGGGCAAGTCGAGATAAAATGCCAACCTGTTCAATAAAGATGGTGGTTGTTAGTATAATAGATAAATGTGTATAAAATATAAGAAATTCAAATTATTTAGTTATGTATATTTGTGTATATTACTCCAAAACGTGTTACCTCAATCTGTCCTTGTCTAGCATATGAGGGGTGGTTCTTAAGGATCTTAATAGCATAAATTTCATTTGAGTGGTGCTTCCAACACTTGCAGACTTGTCCAAAAGTACCACGCCCAAGAAACTCAAGCACTTCATAGGAAGCTGTTTGTGAGTAAAGAACCTCATGCTGAACTAGCTGGTAATCTCCCTCAGAGTTGGCAGAGCTAGCATTGGCAGCAGCCTTTTTGGTGGTGGTTGTGGTGGTGGTCGTGGCCGTGCCGCTCTCATCCTCACTAGAAATGGCGTGCACTTCTGTCAGCTGCATCAGATTACTGTGTTGGTGGTGCAATCTGCCACCGTTGGAAGCTCCGACTGCTCCACTTGCAAGTGTACGGATATTATTGCTCTTTTGCAAGCTCGTGGATGCAACAATAGGCTTTGCAGCACCTACTAGAACTGTTCCTCCACTTTCAGAGTTATCGTAGACTTTCCTCTTCACACCTCTGGGGGCAACAGAAACTTGTGGTGTTTGATGAAAAGTCTGGCTCTGATGGTTAGGATTCTGCCCCTTTCGGGCGGATGAACTGGCTACAGATGCAAGACTAAATCCTGTTGCCGCAGTCTGAGTGTCACTAATTGATGAGGAGGTGCAAGAAGATGCAATTTGTGTAAGCAGAGCGTCGTAGTCTGCGTTATATTGATTTGAAACAATACTGAAATTGCTGCTTGCATTGTTGTACAGGTTTTCATTCAACTTGAAGACGTTGCTAGCACTTCGAGAAGAAGTCAAAGACTGTGTCAAAAAGGGGGAGACAACCTGAAGCGAAGAAACTACATGCTGCTCTATTGGCAGCGACTCCACTTTAACTTTTTTGAAATCACTAAATGCACTTAATTTGGCGTAATTTTGAAGGGTTTCTTGCATCAGTGCATCAGGTCACTGGAAAAGCAAATAATTGTAGAAAAATATTACTTTAGTTATGATAGCACAATTAAAATTTACTATTTTCAAAACTTTGCAACAGAAATTTAACCTTCCACCTATGTTGTGAGTGTAATACTGATGTTTTTAAGTTTAAAATTTGTGCTGTATTATTGCACTATCTAAGCAACACACTATATGTCCCAAAAATAGAAATTTGTGATACTTTGACAGTCAACACTTAGTTCCCAGAAGTAACATCACTGTTTTATACAAAGCTAATCCAGAAAAGTATGGCAAAAGACACCAATTAAAACAAACTGTTGGTCAAAAGAAAAACTATAACATTTTGGTCCTTGCCATCCTTAAGAATTTTTGTGGTCACAGCACAGATAAGCAAGAAGGCCAGTGTAAGTGTAGTATAGTAAATGCATTTTTATAGACCAAACTTTACAATTTGAAGATTACAAGGCAAATATAAAGAAGTATGCCAGTTTTTAGTCATTCTTTGGGAATGATGGAACAATCCTTACACAAAAACTATTGCAGAACAGAAAAGATGTGAAGTTAATTTTTCACTCCATCCCCCAATGTTATCATGCCACCCCTCCAGTATCAAAATGAAATTATTAAATTTTAGGCCTAACACTACTTCTAATAGGCATAAATGTAATTCTAAAAAAAATGTCAGGATTTCTATTTTAACACAGGTAAATCACGTAGAATTTATAAACAATTTTTAATTCTACATGCCTATAAAAAATATAATATATTTATGAAATGACTATTACACTTTGAATTAATTCAGTTATGAGATAAATTTCAGAGCTGACAGAATAGACTTGTTTTTATTGATACTAGACATTATCATTACCTAATGGCACAATGCTCTGATGCTCAAATATCAAGAGAATGAAGTTAATCAATTAGCACATACTTTCTACTAGTTAGCCTAGTAATTTTTAGGGCCTAATAATCAATAATTAACATCATATCTTATCTAATAACTTTAACATGATGGTCAGTAACTTTAATGATCACATGAAGAATAAGCTTATTTGCATTTGGGAAAAGAAAAATAAACAGGCTACAACACTAAAATCTAAGACTAAATTATATTGTTCAATTAGAAAGAACACAAGCCTAACAACATGCCATTAGAAATACTAAATAATAAATAGGTCTTATCACACTATGTATGAAAAGCCTGCGCAGGGCGAAGGTGAAAACTATAACAACTGGGGAAGCTAAAGATTTAAGCAACAAATCCAAAAATAAATATCACTGCTCTGCATACCAGAATTGTCTAAGCTGGATGTTACTTTCATCTAAATTATACCCTTTAAAAAGGAGATTCAATTAGGGGCCTATATTTTAAACTAGCCTTATTTGTAGCCTTTGGGGAATGACGATCGGGATCATGAGAGGGACTAAAACCACATTGCAAAGCTATGGAAATAACAGGAAACCATTCTACTTTTAATGAATAGGTGGAAATGACATTGAAAATTAATTAGGCCTGTTTTGGCTACCATAAATTAAAAAGTTAATGATATGCAAAACCAAATCTCAAATCTCGTGCGAGCGGTATCAATATGTAATGGTAGTTTTCTGTTCATGTTTTTTCACACAAGGTCGATACCAACAACCCTGAGCTTTTTAATAAAATTTAGGGCCTAGGCCTTGATTAATTATATAGGCCCCTAGGCCTACCTAATAAGCCCACATCTATGTCACTTTTTGGAAATAAAGAAATAGGATTAGGCCTAGGCCTACACTTTTTATTTTTAGTTCTAGATTACTACTAATAAGCCTAATGCCTAGCCTAATACTATTTAGTAGTATTTACTAATACTAATAGATCTAGAATCTAGTAATACTTCAAGTCTAATATTAGATCTAGAAGAAATCTACTAGGCCTATATTATTCAACTCACAGTGTATGCCATAATCGCCCTAATGTCACATAAGGGTGATTTAGATTTAGGCCTTCAGCCTAACCTAACTGAACAATAGGTCACTCATACAGACTCATACTCATAGATTAGAAGGTAGATTCCAAAATCTTTTATTTATATTTTTATGGAATAGGGCATAGGGCCTATGGAAGTTAGTTAAATAAGTTAAATTCAATTAAGTGCCTTAGGCATCAATGACAACAGTAGAAAGAAGGGGTTAAACTGGTTAAAGTTTAGTTTGTAGGCCTATTTAATGTAGATCTATTTATTATTTAGTATTTAGATTTCTAGATTCTAATCTAGATTCTAGATCTAGAAATCTAGATTAGATCTTCTAATCTAATTCTAGGCTAATGAATCAATGAATGTTTATTTAAAATTAAACAAACAGGCCAAGCCTATAAAATAGTATTAATAGTTACTCGCATTTACAGCAAACTGCGTGAGAAATTAGTCTGCTAATCAAATAATTTAGTAAACCATAGCATCGTTCATAACTAAAAGAAAGGTTGTTTAGAACTCCCTGCCATGCTTGCTAGCAAGAAAGAACCAAGCCAGGACAAGAATTAGGAATGCTAGTCTAGTCGTGGCCCTGACCCAGCAAGGCCTGGCAAGCGGGATAACAAGACAACCTGGCTTGTCGTGTCAAAAAAAACCACATTTACCATCACTTAATTCAGTAGAAATATCCAATCCTTTGTTCTGTACACTATAAAGAAAGAAGCCCTTAAGTTCCTTGAATTAAATATTGCGAATGTTATACATATACCCCCGAAAAGTGGCTCAATTAGAGCCAAACTATTTTAGCACTGCAACATGTCTGTCTGTCATGAAGGGGGATAGACAAGGAACACCAAGAATACTCGAAGGGAAACATTGTTTACGACTAAAGGCAAAGCTTCTCCTCTCTTTCATTATAAAATTAAATACAACACGCTGACACATTAATTTAATATAGCGCACAAAAGTGTAAAGTTTTATAAATGAACAGAGTTATTAATTTTGCTTTAGAGAATTAAATAAATAAGTACTAATAAAACAAAATGTACTTGTTTCCTAGTTTCCTTACGAACATTTCTTGACGTCACTTCTGCTTTGCGCTCACCGATATGTAGCCGAACCAATGAAGTGCTGCGGTAAATATAGGTACTGCCGGGGTCACTCACGTGTTAGCAAGGACCTAAATGACAGGCGAGCTAAAAATAAAACAGACTAAATAAATATTTTCCTCAAGTATGAATGTCATAGGCCTATACTCAGTGGCGGAACTAGAAATCAAAGGCTCCCCCGCAAAGAAAAATCTAGGGCCCCCTATATATATATACATATATATATATATATACATATATATATATATATATATATATATATATATATATATATATATATATATATATATATAATTTTATATATATATATATGATCTATATCCTGAGTAATTTAGTTTACTTCATTGCAATATATAACCATTCTGAGAGAACAAAACAGAAAAAATTTAGTCAAACTCATTTTGAACCAAAGGCACTGTCTAAATTGTGCTGGTCAAAAATATATAAAGACGTTAGCTTGATTCGTGAATGGTTTCTCGCGTTATGTTTATTTTTTTCATTTTTGGCTTTTATAATATCAATTTTGAAAACATTGATTTTTATAGCTATACTATTGTATAGTACGTCTTATTTAAGTAACAATTCAGAGAATCAATTGCTTTTTAATATACATAGTACAAAACTATTTAAATGAGCTTCGTGGGCATCCTATTTTAAAGAAGGGCAGTAAGTCATGGAAGTAGTGTGAATGTTTACCTACCTTTCAAACTATAGCTCTTGTAGATTTTAAAATATTTTTCTACGCAACAATCTCTGCTATAGTAGACCTGATTTTTTTTTTTACAAAACCACTTTCAAGATGCATGAAAACATAATTTTTGAAAAAAAAATGCATTGTTTTTTGGTCGGAACTGGGCCCCTAAACGTCCTGGGCCCCCCCGCATTGCGGGGTCTGGCGGTATGGTAGTTCCGCCCCTGCCTATACTTTGTAATTTGCAGGTTTGTTTTGATTTCTAGACTATCGGTTCTGCTATTTAGCATATTAAAGACTATTTGTTGACATAGAAAGAAATCTAAAGAAAGTGCTTAAAGATACTATAATTACTAGATTTTTTTATATAAAAAAAACAATTGCAAAGCTAGATCCACTTTTTGTCGACTAACCCTCACATAGGCACACAAACAGGCGACTTATTCACCAACAGTAGAATAAAATAAAAACAGTAAGAAATAAGAGGCGTGCGAGGGGAGGGCGGACGTACCTGGGACCGAGCCTTGGTGGAGGGCGCCTAAATGGAACTGGAAAAAAAATCATAAAAAGTTCATTAGCTTTATTACTTATTTAACTCTTTTCTAAATCAAATGGGTGATACCATAATAAAGAGGGAAAGTAAAAAGCGCCCCAACCTTTCAGAAGAAGGGTTAAAGTTTTTTTTTAAAACCAACGTGAATATCTAGAAGTAAATGTGGGTGGGGGGGATTGATAGTTCACCCCGGACGCCGGAATGAATCGTTACGTCTCTGAAAAAAAACATTTTATTCTATATAAAATATATTTCTTTTATTTTAACTTACACGCGCACACATATATAATATTTATTATTAAAATAGAATTTGTGTTGCCTGTTGATATCCCCACATTTTATTTGGGTGTGTGTGTGGGGGGGGGTGTTGTGGTTCTAGCCTCTCTCGAGATTTTAATTATGCTTGGTAGTTGGCAGCCCTGATCCATTTCCGTGTAGGAGTGACGGGAGATCGTGACGATTTGTCTCCCTTGATTACTTCTGTTTTGTCTAGCGGATCTTAAATTTTTATGTTCGAGTTTGAGATCTTGTTCTTCTAGTCAACAATTTACTACCGTCTATACAAGTTTGTGTACGGCTCCGGATACACGTCAGCCTTCACACGTTTGTGCTTTGGTATTAAGCAACACATGTTTTCTTGCCAGTTGAATTACACTAGAAATCTGCAATGCAGAGGCGTAGCGAGGGGGGGGGGGGGGGCGGGGGGGGGACATATGTCCCCGGGCGCCGACCTTAGGGGGGGGGGGGGCGCCAAAATGGGTTTGAAAAACAAATTGAAAGTTTGAGGGGAGTGCAAATCGAAAGTTTGAGCGGGGTGCACATCGAAAGTTTGAGGGGGGGGGGGGGGTGCAAATCGAAAGTTCGAGGGGGGTGCAAATCGAAAGTTTGTCCCCGGGCGCCGGGAAGGGTCGCTACGCCTCTGCTGCAATGTTAAAGAAAAGTGGCAATGAGTTCAATAGGCCTATCTATCCGACAGATTTGTATATCCACCAACATGGAAAAATTAAGTTTGGGTGGGGTACCTGGGTGAACATTGTTCAATACCCTGCGACTGTCACTAATTGCAGCTAACCAGTAATTGGTGCAGCAAAGATTAGCATATAATGGCCTATTTCATATTTTATTAACTACGAAGGCAGATACATATAACCATATATATATATATATATATATATATATATATATATATATATATATATATATATATATATATATATATATATATATATATATATATATATATATATATATATATATATATACAAAGCAATACGAAACAACAGAGATGGAATGGAAGACCTGAACGGAAGATAATTACATATTAGTAAAATATTAAAATTATATTATGATTCGCACACAGGTTAAGAGTAAAATAACACATGAAACTGAATAGAATTTCAGTTCGTTCAAAGTGCGCTAGACTATAACAAATCCTATCGTCTAAGTCTCACACGCTGCTGCGTTCAATCTTGCTTTAATCAATTGTAATAGAGTTTATGCTTATGATGTCTTTTTATTACACAGCAGGTTGTACACAAAGTACAGACACAATAGGCCGACCCCTGAGCACTTTCAGATCAAGTAGGAAGGAATGATTGATCTTTGCTTGTGATCATACACATTTGTCCTGCTTAAATATATTTTGTTGCGATTTGTGTATTCAAATTGTAACATCAGCTACATCTAGAAGGTAATTAAGCTTGATCATTTTTAGAATAATCGCTTATTATTATGGGGTGTTTTTTTTCTAAAAATTTATTATCTAGACATTGTAAAAAAAAATAATCCATTGCCAATATGTAAGTTTTCAAAGGAGCTAGATCTATATTCTTTCTATCCTGTTCACGACGTTTTTAACCAAGTCGGCATACGACTCACCATTAAGAAATGTGTTTTGAAACCCTGTCAGTAGGTTACAACATATCGACAATTAACTATAGCTTAAAACCCTGTCAGTAGGTTACAACATATCGACACTTAACTATAGCTTAAAACCCTGTCAGTAGGTTACAACATATCGGCAATTAACTATAGCTATACGCCTGCTGTTAGAGGCAGTGTTTAGCTCTTCAGATTTGTGAGCAACGTCTGTGAACACTAGCCCACCCCACCAGCAAGTGGCCACTAATACTTTTTATTGTTATCTCCAATTTTTGTTGGTGAGTAGAATATTGTAACTATTTTCTTCCTTTTTATCTGAAACGTGTTTTCTATTAGACCATGGGAGTATTCGTCAGATTTTATAACAGCACTGTCGTCTGTGGTTTACACCAGTCCATTCACGCTAAACGTAACCATTGCTTACATAGGACACTGAACAGATATAAACCTAACTTCAACTGATGAGTTTGGGGGGCCCTTTGCTGCTGCCCGGTTAGCCGCCCTCCTTAATCCGTTACTGATACTCGAATATCAAGATTCAAATTTCGACCTACACCTAGATCTAAATGTTGTGATTCATGAGCACACATGATTGTAAACAAAAGTATGGACCCTATTTTTTTTTAAATGCATTGATAAAAATACTACGCCAGATATTTAGTCCGACTAAAAATTTCCGCTTACTAAGTCTACATGACCTTTGTAGCAGACAAGCATTAGTGTATTGTGCTCACCCTTTCCGTGAGCCTATTTTAACGTGTTACTTTGATAAGGGATGCGTTAAAATTTGTTTATTAAATTAAAAAAAAAACAACAGTCATGTTCTATGTACAATATCTTCTCTGGCCAATTAGGTCGACATAGCATATATGTTTTAATGTGTACCGGAATCAAATCAACACAGCCATATATGGAACCCACTTACGCCTACGCGGATCTACGGAGGTTTATGGGCAGGGGAAGGAGGGGAATTACTCTTTCTCCTCAGAGGTATCTAAAACTATAGTGTTTAATATTGGTTTATTAAATGGTTTTTTTTCTTTTATTCATAACTTTATTAGACAGTGTTAAGAAACAATGACGATCACTAAATCACATGCATGTGATGTGTGATTGAAAACTTCTAAGATGTAAAAAAAATGTTAGCAAATATAAACATATGGCAGCACCAGTCGCATATATAGAGCCTCTAAAATCCGAGCAACTTCTGATATGTGCAACCACAAAAACCCATTGCAAAACAAAGTGTTTCTGTTGTAGCAAATGTTTAAAACAAAAACTAACGCACTGAGATGAGAAGCGATTGGACGAGTGCCGGAAAACCTGTTGAAGGGTTCTGAGTGTCGAACTGAGCGTGTAAAAAAGTTTTTGTTACAAGCCGCTGAAAACCTTCTAAGATGGCTCTACTCCACCTTCCTTTCTGGCCAGGCAGGACAGATAACTGCTGGCTCCCAGTCATAATTCGCTTGACCCTCCACGCCAATCACCGCTGGGTGGCGCCACTATGTTCTTCAGTACATACTGCAACGTGTTTCAGCCAATGATTGGCCGTGCTCTGCTTTGAGACAATAGAATTAATGGAAGCATTTTTAAGTTTAAAAAATTAATGTAA